CTGCCAAGCGTGGCGACTATTAGCAAAACCCCCCAAGGGGGACGCTTACGTTTAATAGTGGATATATGATTATGATGTATAATTATGGTCACAATGTCCTTGTTTTTTAATTAATGACTAATGACTATCATCATTTCAGCCATTATTCGTCCACTGCTGGACATAGGTCTACCCATAGCCTGCCATAAGGAATGGTCCTGAGACACCTACATCCACTGATTCCCTGCAACGTATTTGAAGTTGTCACTCCATCTAGTGAAGAGGGTCTTTCTACACTGCATTTACCCCTACGGGGTCGCCATTCAAGAACCTTTCTTTCCCACGGGTTGTCAGTTCTTCGAACTATGTAACCAGTCTTCAATAGTGTATTGTATGCTGCCAGGTCCAGTCGACTGCACTTGACAGGTGGATGTGCAACCGCAGTTAAGCTTTTGGTGATGTACCGAGAGGGACACTGCTGCCCATCCCTCGACCATAAGTTTCCTGAGTCGCCTTTTACGACCCTTAGAGAGAAGGAAAGTGTGGCTTGTCCATGCTGAGACCACAAAGTACTAACTCTGTATTAAATTTCAATATCTAATAATTAATTATTAATGTGATTTAACAGCCCAATAACTGGCAATATATTGTCAAGTGACCTTTACGTGGTCACCATGGAAACCATCGAGCTGAATTCCAGGTGTATTCGTCACGATGGGCTAACTGACCTACCTTTTCAGTCGTACCTATCATCCTTCATTGGTGTTCATCCAACGGTATACGTTGGAAGGACACCAGTGAAGGATATTAGCGCAGTTTCAGAGATGTTTTCTCCCACGAATACTTAGGTTATGGAATGAGCTCCCTGCCGAGGTTTTCCCAAGAGACTACAGCATGGGGTTCTTCAAAAGGGGGGTAAAGAGATTTCTTCAGGGTCGGCAACGCGCGCGTAATACCTCTGGTATTGCAGGCGTTCATAGGCTACGGTAACCACTTACCATCAGGTGGACTGTATGCTTGTTTGCCACCTCAGTGGTATAAAAAAAAAGGCGAGGGTTACCATTCCATTATCATTCAATAAACAAAAATCAAAGTAGGGAGAAAAGGGGTTGTTAACAATGGGGTATAACAGTCCCAATGCAATGTACCCTATAAGATTGATTTCCACGCAGCTCCCTCTGGAAACTATTGTAATTTATTCTTGAATTCATCGCGATGGGCTAACTGACCTGCCTTTTTATTCTCACCTATCATCCCTTACTGGTGTCCTGCAATGTACCGTTAGCGAATGCGGAGTTACTATTCTATTTTTACATACATACATATATATCTGTCACGCCTGTCTCCCATTAGGGTAGGCAGAAACAATGGAACGCCAAATACATCGATTCAAACAAACCTCTTTCGCTTCTTCCACATTCATCAATCTTTTCATACACGCTCGCCGGTTACGGGTACTTCTATTTTTTATCCATGAAAAAATATACTCGTTGTAGGGACACCGTTAAGCGGTGGAAATACGTTTGTCCTTACTTCTGATAATGAGGATGAAGCGATTACAATATTTAAGAAGGTACGTGCACTTACTTGAAGGAATCTTATGCGCCGCACTACTTTCCACCTTTGACTGGATGCTGTTATAAATTCTTGATTGGTAGGCCTACACAAATTTTTAAATACACAATATTTTGTCTGTAATTTGATGATCTCCTAGATCACAGTTCGGTTATGCTCTTGATTCGCGATCTCAAGCCGAGTGCAAGGACAAGTTCACTAACTGCCCTCCAACTTAATAATAATGTAATCGCTTCATATCCGCGAGGTGTGGACATTCGATTAAGAATCGAATAATCGATTGATTGAAGCGCCGTTTGGGACGATACACTCGTACTTTGGGGGAAAGGGATTGTAAGTAATGGAGACTGAGAATCCCATTACTAGCAATATACCCAACCAGGTCGACCTCCTCGCGGTTCTCCCTGGAAACTGTCATGGTTAATTCCTGATGAATTCATCATGATGGGCTAACTGGCCTGTTTTCATTCTCATCTATCACCCTTCACTGGTGCTCTGCCAGCGTATCCCGTTAGCGCAGGCGGGGTTACCATACCATTTTCACCTATCAAAAAAAAAACTGACCTGCCTTTTCATTATCGCCTATCATCCCTTACTGGTGCCCTGCAATGTACCATTAGCGAATGCGGAGTTACTATTCTATTTTTATTCATGAAAAATATACCAAAGTGCTATAAATTTTACTATTTTTTTTTTTTACATTTTGGTATTGCTTGGTTTAGGCATACCTACTATATTACAATTAATGCAGAATGGTTTTCTAGAATTCGTATAGTATTTATTCGAATTGAGTTGTATTTAATATATATTGATGTATACATTTCAATCTATTTTAATCCATTTGCACATAGTAATATAATTCAAAATCACTTTATTGCACTACATTTCGTGTTTTTCATAGGCTTCTGTATACTTTTTGTTAGTACAAGTGTTACTGATATGTATTTACATTGAATTCGAAATAAATTTGCGGGCGTAATAGAAATAAATTAGATATACGCATTCACTTAATAGTTTATTTAGGTGTTAATATTAGTGATGTGCCAGACACACATCTGTATTCATATCCGCGGATATCCGAGAGGGAAAAGATCTGTGTCCGTTTATAAGAGACGGGTATTTAGAAGATTTTTCAAGTGAAAAAACGTCGAGATAATCTTGATAAATTGTAATATTATTAATGTTAATTCTCATTTCTTTTAAACCATAAATCATGCAACGCGAAAGTAAATTTTTTTCTGTGCCCAAATATATTTGTTAATTTTTGGCGGATCTTAAACGAATTTTTTATTATATTCTATTTCTCATAGATTTACCCGCGTGAAATAATGTATAAAGTATTCTATGTGTTTAGTAAGAATATAAGACAAATGTACCAACTTACATTCAAATCCATTCGATAATTTTTGCGTGAAAGACTAACAAAAATCCATCTAACAAACTTTAGTGTTTATAATATTAATAGAATTAATAAATGTCCAAACCTATATGTGACAATAATAGTCTTTTTTAATAGGTTTAATGGTTAACCAAGTGTTAATGAAATTACCACATAAAAAATCTCTAAACGAAATGAGTAACAAACAATTATGTTTAATCAATTAATCGATTTATAATATTGAATATTATCAGACTTGGATCAACTATGTTTTTTTTTTACTTTTTCGTTACGTTCTATTCAAAAGGAGTATAAATAACACAATAGTACTTTAAAGTCACACACTAATTAAAATGCTCATATCTTAAATTGTATAAAAGTGGAATTCCCTATTTCCGTATTTACGGATCTAATCGCTAATGATCCGTATTTGTATCCGTATCCGTGGATATACATTTTTAACGATTCGACACATCACTATTTGACATTCAAAGTAAACTTTACAATTTAGAACAAAAGTTTAGAACAGTTCTTTGTCTTCTTCAGGTGCCTCCCTATTACTGGAAATTAGCCGTCAGCTTTGTGAATTATTTTTTATTTGACAGTCAGAATAATTGCTCTGCACTGACAATACCATGTGTTCCTCTTCTGTTCCAGCATTTTTTTTTATACAACTTAGAATGGCAAACAAGCTGACGGCCCACCTGATGGAAAGTGGTAACCGTCGCCTATAGACATGAGCAGTGTCATGCACATAACAGAGTATACTGTTTGGCCCATGATACCCCCCATGCGTTGCTATTCCTGAGGACTCAGAATATATAGAATAGAATATAGAGAGCATAGAATGGACCACCCGTTCTTTCCTGTGGGTGTCGCAAGAGGGGACTAAGGGAACTTAATGCTAGAGGGCAGCGGCAGCAGCGTCCCTCTTAAAACATCACTAAAAGCTAACTGCGATTGCCAATCTGCTTGCCAAGCGTGTCAACTACTGGCAAAACTCCCCTTATGGGAAAGGCCTATGTTCAGCAGTGGACAGTTAACGATGTAATAATAATAATAATTCTTAGTATTGCGAACAAGTCATTAAGAACTTGACCATGTCGACCTATTGCTGTAAAGTCAACCTTCACGTGTTCTCCCTGGAAACCATCCTGGCTAAGTTCTAGAAAAGGGGGAAAGGGATTGTTAATAATCAGGAATAGCAACGCATGGGGGGTATCATGGGCGAAACAGTATACTCTGTTATGTCCATGGTACTGCTCATGTCTATAAGCGACGGTTACCACTTTCCATCAGGTGGGCCGTCAGCTTGTTTGCCATTCTATATTGTTAGAAAAAATACTCTATTGCTAGCAAAATATCCTATATTGCTAACAATAGAGCCACTAATCAAATCAATCTCCACGCGATTCCCCTTGGAAACCATTGTGAATAATTCTTGTTGAATTCACCACTATGGTTCAACTGCCCTGCTTTCGTCCTCACCTATCCCTCACTAGTTCTCCGCCAGTATATACCAATAGCACATGCGGAATTACCATTCCATTATCACTCATTAAAAAAATCTTAGCAAATACGCCATTATGGGCCATTTCATATGACTTAATCTGCATTAAAGAAAGAAACTTCTTTTATTGATAGTAAGGTAAGTAAGTAGTAAGGGAATGGTAACCTCGCCTGTGCTATCGGTATACACTGGCGGGGCACCAGTGAGGGATGATAGGTGAGGATGAAGCAGGTCAGTTAGCCTACCATGACGGATCTAACAATAAATCAATCATGATGGATAATTGCCGCTAAATGTACATAGAATTTTACTGTGCATTAAAGTTTAGTTTATAAGTTATATATATATATATATATATATATATATATATATATATATATATATATATATATATATATATATATATATATATATATATATATATATATATATATATATATATATATATATATATATATATATATATATATATATATACGAATTTTGATAATTGATATACTATATATTTTCTAACATCCAAAAAGAAAATAAGAAATTATTAAAAGAAAAAAAACGAAAAATGATGAATGAACATTTATTGAGAGAAATGAAAGAATAATAAACAAAAAAAAAATTGTTATTACATTAATTTCGTGAAAACAAAACAGCAAACGGTAATTATGTTGCTACATCACACATTGCGTACTAACTTCATAATGGAATTATTATCAAATTTACGTTAAACGTTTTCTTAACAGTGTTAACACAACTTCCATATTTTGGCATGATTATACATAATTTTGGGTTTCCCAATTCGTTAAGCACAAAAGTAAAAAAAAAACTAACGCCGAAATATATTATGGCTCTGTAGTAAAGCAACGCAACTCAGTTTTCTGCAAAACGTATGGAGTAAACTGTCAAAAAATCGAAATTTCGTGCACGATGTATCCCATATAGACGCAGCATCAGTAGAACTGTTTGTTTTGGATACCCCTCTTTGGAGTTATCGTCAGAATCTCCAACGAGGATATTGGATTCTTCATTGCTTGAACCGTTAGAAGCACTGTTTTAATTACTATTAGGATCAAAATTGTATTTTTTGTTCGACTGCAATTCGGAATTTTTATTGCTGGAGTTGTTTTAATTACAGTTAGTTGTTTTAACACTGTTAGAATAACCGTTTTCTCTTTCAAACAGTTCAGTCTGAAGTGCTTGAGCTACTATTTTCGTTAAAACTTGAACTAGAGCCGTTTGAACTGCTGCTGGAATTGCCACTTAAGTTTAAACTGCCAGAGCCATCTAAAATACTGACGGAGTTGCCACTTGAGCTTGAACTACTAGAGCCATCTGAACTACCGCTCGAATTGTCATCAGAGTTTGAACTGCTAGAGCCATTTGAACCGTTGCTGGAGTTTCCACCTGAGTTGGAACCTCTCGATCTGTTTGAGCTTCCGCTAGAATTACCATTTGAGTTCGAACTGCTTGAACCGCCGTTACGGTTTGAGCTGCCTGAGTTTGAACCGTTTGAGCTATTTGAATCATTGTCAGAACCACCGTTTGAATTTGAACCATTATTGCTGGAACCACCGTTACTGTTGGAGTCATCGTTACCGCTGGAGCCACCGTTATTGCTGGAGCCACCATTATTGCTGGAGCCACCATTGGAGCCACCGTTACTGTTGGAACCACCGTTACTGTTGGATCCGTCGTTTGAGTTTGAACCGCTGTTCGATCCACCATTATTGTTGGAACCACGGTTACTGTTGGAACCTCTACGAGATCCACCGTTATTGTTGGAACCACCATTACTGTTGGAACCACCATTACTGTTAGAACCACCGTTACTGTTGGAACCACCATTATTGCTGGAACCACCGTCACTATTGGAACCACCATTACTGTTGGAACCGCCGTTTCTGTTGGAACCGCCGTTTCTGTTGGAGCCACCATTTCTGTTGGAACCGCCATTTCTGTTGGAGCCACCGTTCCTGGAACTACCACTACCATTTGAACCATCGTTTGAGTTTGAATCACTGTTGGAACCACCGTTACTGTTGGATCCGTCGTTTGAGTTTGAGCCGCTGTTGGAACCACCATTATTGTTGGAACCACGGTTACTGTTGGAACCTCTGCGAGATCCACCATTATTGTTGGAGCCACCGTTACTGTTCAAACCACCGTTACTATTGGAACCATCATTATTGCTGGAGCCACCATCGTTGGAACCACTATTACTATTGGAGTCGCCGTTATTGTTAGATCCACCATTTCTGTTGGAACTACCACTTCTGTTGGAACCACTGTTTCTGCTAGAACCACGGCGTCTCTTGGAACTGCCGTTTCTGGAACTACCATTACTATTCGAACCGTTGTTTGAGTTTGAACCGCTGTTGGAACTACCATCATTGTTGGAACCGCCATTATTGTTTGAATCATCATTTGAATTGCTGTTAGAACCGCCATCGCTGTCAGAATCACCATTTGAGTTTGAACCGCTTGATCTATTTGAACCACTGTTGGAACCACCGTTACGGTTGGAACTGCCATTTGAGTTTGAACCACTGCCTAAACCACCACTAGAGTTGCCGCTTAAGCCACCGGAGCGACCACTTCCTGCAACATGCGTAAATAATAGTGAACAATTTACTCTATTCACTTTATTAAATCATATAACAAAAGTATTACTAAAACATTATGGTATTAGATGGAATTTGGTAGTGTAAATACAAATGTAAATGTGACACGCCAAAATAATGACAAATAGAAAAAAATCAGTGTTAATAAAATCATTTAAAATGATTTATCAAATATCAATAATGATTATTGAGGTATTTATACCCATCTTTGTTGAGCAAAAATTCCTAATATTAACTCGCTTCACTTTAGATCTTTTAATATTCCACTGACTCGCGGCCAGTATAGAAGCAATTGGTTCACAATACGATGTTCCACTATTTTTAATATTGCATATAGTAGAGATAAGAAATGGATATATGTATTTAATAGTAGCAGCAGGTATTTTAGAAAAACCATCGCAAATAATCTAATCTGTAACTAATTCAATTTTCGATAATCACATGCTTTTAATTAGCTTATCGTTGTCATATATATTTAATTATTAAGTTATTAAAGCTGTAAGCTTCCCTCGAAAATAATAAACAAATAAATATGACAGATTATTTACCTGAACCAGTCGAGCTTGTAAATCCAGATGCAATATCAGCAGCATTAGCTGCGGCGTCTGCTCCCGCATTGGCTACAGCATCCACAGCTCCAGCACCAGATTGAGATTCAATTGCAGCTATATTCCCAGCTCCACTAGTAGCTGTAATTGAATCAGCGGCTGCAGTTCTGCCTGCAGTATTGGCAATACTTCTAACACCTGATCCAGACGTGAGTGCAACATCTCGAACAGCGCTGAGTGGATCGCCACGTGCAAAGTCAGCTGCGGCCTCACTTGCGTCAAGTACTCCAGTCTCAATTCCAGTTTCGGCAATGTTGGCACCACCGCTTGCAGTTCTTGCAGCAATATCGCCCGCGGTGCCAGCTGCTACTAGAGATCCACCTCCGACTGCGTTTGCACCTGCACGAGCAGCGCCCTCTACGCCTTCGGATGCATCCAAGCCAAAGTCTGTAGACAACATTATAAATTGGATTAGATTTAGAATAAAATAGATACATACAATGTATTTTATATATATTTCTTTTTTTTTTATTTTTATTAAGGAATTTTGTGGCTGGCTTTTGGCCACAACAGAATATCATTGTTTTGCTCTTTTGAGGACGAAGCAATAAACTGAGTTGTGACCATTTTGTGTTTTGGTCGTTTAATTTACTAAAATATAGTTGAGCGCAATAATAGCTACTTCATCCGTCATACTCGTGAACAGGTGCTGTTTGTGCGGGCTGGTCTGCTCATATTTGCTTGTTTATTATCCATAACATAGATATAAATTCCGTTTGGTACTGGCATAGAATAAGCTTTCTCTTCTTTGCCGGTGGGTGTCGTAAAAGGCGGCTAAGGATGGATGGGCAGTAGCGTCCCTCTTAAAACATATCTGAAGCTTAGGCAGTTAGCTGCAATTGCCAATCCATCTGCCAAGTGTGGCAACTATTAGCAAACCTTTCCCTTAATGTAGAGGCTTATGTTAAGCAGTAGTTAGCCCATCTAGTTCCATAGTGCTCATAACTCGCGCTCCATTAGTCGCCTCTAATGACACCCACTGGAAAGAAAGGGGTTAAGGTATGCCGAGACCACACGGGAATTCCCCATGTGGTATATATATAGATAGGCACGTACCTACGATTGATGGCAAGGCAACGGCAGAGCCGACCTGTAAACAAAAATAAAAAAAATATTACAAGAAAACACACAGGAGAATTGAGCAACTCGTCCTTTTCAAGCGAATTCAAAACGAAAGAGGCTCTCAATTTGATTGTATTTTTTTGTATGTTTGTCACCTCATAACTCCGTCAGTTGTAAACCGATTTGAAAAATTTTTTTTTTTTTTTGCTAAAAGGATATACTTACAGATTACTCCCATAAACATTTTAAATTGGCTTAATACTCGTAGTTTAATTTTTAAACCAAAATAACTAGTTTTGGCACAATTAAAATCGGTATTTTTGTAGAATACAATCTTGTGTATGCCTAGAATGGCAAACATGCTGACGTCTCACCTAACGACCTGACCCATTAGACAAGAATTAAGCGAATGCAATGATAGAATAGTCTTCCACGAGTTGGAATGAAACATTGAACTTTGCGATCTCACTTTATCTCATGGACACGCTAGCGATGACCAGAAACAAGATATCAAAAATAAATACACATTATATCATAAAAATATGTATAAATAGGTAAAAAAAAATCCCAATAATTAATTTTGCTATGCAAAAAAGCTACTTCATTCTTGATTATAAATTTAATCAAATAAATAGATAATTAATTTCTATTTATGGTTCCCAACAAAAAGTTACAGTAGTTAACTTAATAAAAATGCAAACAATTACAAGAGAAGGTTACACTAAGAAAACAATAGGTGGCTTTATCGCTAAAAAGCGATCTTTTTGGATACCATATCAGTCTTTAATTGTCCACTGTTGAACTTCCTCTATGGGGTGGGTTTTACCAATAGTTGCCACGCTTGTCAGGTGGGTTGTCAACCGCAGTTAGGCTTTACTTTTGGATGGAAAGGAGTAACAAACAGTTTGATAGGGAGTACGATAAAATTATGCTTTACATTTACATTTTATTTATCATACATTTTACGTGTATGATATAATCTACAATAATATAAAAAAATTTACTTGGTAGCTGTTTGTACATGGAAGATATAAAAGAAAAACTATTATAAGGAACCTATATGAACACAATGGAACCCAAAACAATGATTTTTAGACTTTTTGTCTATTATTATACAATGATACAGAACCAGTACGGAAATAAACCCCATTAATTATGAATAGAGTTGTAAGAAATAGTTTAGAATTAACGTCTTAACTATAATAATTAATATCATGGGGACTATATTATGTCCATGGTACTGCTCATGTCTATAAGTGACGGTTACATCTTTCCCTCAAGTGGACCGTCAGTTTGTTTGCCATTCTAAGTTGTATAAAAAAATGTCATAAAAAGTTCAAGCTCACAAATCTTGGAAGCCGCTTAAAAATTTTAATCCCTTATACTTAACAAATGGATACTTTATATAAGTATAGGAGGCTAGTCAAAATGTGAGAATACTCTTTTAAAAGATGCAATTGTGAATAGAATGAAATCATTAGCATCAATTTATGGGACAACTGTAAAACTCTTTTTTTTTTCTTTAAAGGGAGAGTTCTGCCAGGGAACCTAACAATTATTTTCTTTAAAGGGAGAGTTCTGCCAGTGAACCCGAAGTTTTTGATTTAAAGAAAACATTCTGCCAGTGAACTTGACAATTTTAAGAGAAAGCCCTGTTAGTTGACTCAAACATTTCGCCCAAAGAAACACTAGATGAAAACGCCAAACAAGTTATGCCTCCCATATTGACACGGTGCCTCCCAGCTGTAGATTAAAATAGGAGGCCCAAGGCTCCTCCTCCTTCTTAATTTTTTATGAAATGGTTTTCGTTTTACAACCTGTTTCTTTAAAATAAATGTTTTTATTTATTTATTTCATGTATTTATATCTGTACAAAGGCGAAAGGCTTAACTCTAGAAGATCTCTTCCAAAGTGGAAAGGAACACCCATGTCAGCAGGTAAAACGGTGTACAATAATGTGGCAATAATAAAAATCTTTACTAACAGAACACTCCCTTTGACAGATATTAATTAAATTTAATTAAAAATTGAATGATATTAATTTCCTATTATAATGTTAATATGATATAATTAATTCTAATTTTAAATAAATAAAACTGTACGTTACCAGAGCGAGAAGCAGAGCGAACCTCATGTTGGCGATCATGGTGAAACTGATGCGGATGTGTTCAAACTTATGGAATTTTCTCACTTTAGGACCTTAATATAGTCACAGTAACAATGAGTGTGACGCAGTATTCATTGTTTGTTAATGACAAATTGTATCAATAACAGTAGGGACATTTAAGCAAATACCCCATCTGTTTGCTTAAATGTCCCTTATAAAATATCTATATAAAAAACCGGTCAAGTGTGAGTTGAACTCACTCGTCGAGGATTCCGTACTTAGAAATAATCAGTAAATAGTTTTGGAATTTATTTGACTTATGTGTATGTGAGATTTTATTATTTAAATATGTAAATAATCACATCATATCATGTGGGGTATCATGGGCGAAATAGTATACTCCGTTATGTCCATGGTACTGCTCATGTCTATAGGCGACGGTTACCACTTTCCATCAAGTGAGCCGTCAGCTTGTTTGCCATTCTAAGTTGTATAAAAAAAAGATCATATATAATATGAAATTACCTTATTGTATTTTATATGAAATTTACCTATTAATTATTATTATTTCTGTTAGGAATTTTATTTATTTATTTATTTCTTATTGCATTCCATAATATGGTTGGTAAATGTTAAAACAACTCTATGAGGCACAGCGAGTAGGGGAGAGTAGGACAACCCTTTATTTTACTGAGGGGAGAAAGGATTGTTAGTAATGAGGATTAGTAACCCCATTGTTACCAATTAACCCTATCAGGTCGACCTCTTTGCGGTTCCTCCTGGAAACCATCATAATTGATTTATTGTTGAATTGCTTGCTTCATCCTCGCCAATCATCTCTTACAAGGGGAAGGGGATTGTTAGCAATGGAGTATGACAGCTACATTGCTAGCAATATACTCCGTCGGGTCGACCTCCACGTGGTTTCCCCTGGAAATCATCGTGATCAATTCTTGTTGAATTCGTCACGATGAGCTAACTGACTTGCTTCATCTTCACCTATCATTCTTCACTGGTGCCCCGCCAGCTTATACCGATAGCGCACTGGGGATTACCATACCATTGTCATCTATTATGAAAAAAGAAATCTTTTTTTACTTTAGAATTTAATGAAATTCCTTATTTTAAGCCATAACAGCCATAAAATCCTAGGACATGACTAAGTTTTTGTTTGGAGATATTTTGATAATTTCTCCGAAACAATTCCAGTTATAAACTTTATTTTCACTGTAATATTCATATATTAATATAACTTTATAAAATGTAATCATTTCAGATTTTTCATTTCACAAACTTCGGAGGTAGGGGAAGGGGTAATTTTTTCACACATTTTCGATTATATATAAAAAACTAGGCATAATAAAATTTTAGGACTAATAGGTAACAATTTAAAAAAATAATTAGATACCCCTTTTTTATACCCTATCTATCTATCTATCTATTTAAGAGCTGCGCTCTTGTCGGTGGAGCTCTTGCCACTCACTACGATTTCCAGCGAGTCTCTACACCTCTTGATACGACACGACACCAACTCCTTCCTTGATCTGCCTGATGCAACTATGTCTCGGTCTCCCTCTCCCCCTCCTTCCTTCTATCTTACCTTCTATTATAATGTTCATAAGTTCGTCGTGTCGTATCAAGTGTCCTTTTTACACCCTAGTAAAAAAAAAAAAACATTTTTTTAATTATTTCCACTGCAATATACGTAGCACATATTTACATATAAAATATTGCAAATTCCAAATGGATAGCATTAATAATTAAGAGTTGAGATAAAATGCTCACCTTAATTAGATTTTTTAATTATTTATACTTTATTGTACACACTAATTATACATGAAAATATGACAGAGGTAATCAAATGTACAAAGGCGAGCATAACTCTAAAAGAGTTCTCTTCCAGCAACACCCAAAGTGGAAAGGAGCATCAATGTCAGCGGGTAGAGCGGTGTACAATATTGTGACAATTTACAAACGAAAAAAAGAACTAGACTTAAATTAGACTTTTTTTTATACAACTTAGAATGGCAAACAAGCTGACGGCCCACCTGATGGAAAGTGGTAACCGTTGCCTATAGACATGAGCAGTACCACGGACATAACAGATTATATCTAGTGATGGCAAAATTCGTCTACGTTCTTTATATATTATGTAAATTGTTACTGCAGACATTAATAATCTTCTGAAGCTTTGAAATTGTAGCTTACATTTAGGAATAACCGTTTTCGAACGCAAATATGTATTTATAGAAAGGAAATATTTATTGACCACAACTTTGCAAACAAAACTGCTTCACGGTTGAAACGCGAATGGGACAGAGGTACTCAAGCAATCGACTTTTGTACAAAGTCTCCCTCTGGTCTCTATTATACAAGGAACCCTGCTCTGTACTGTTTTGGTACGGAACCCTAAAAACGAAGGTCTTTTCATTGTTTTACAGCAAATGTATAGTAAGTACCTACAATTATAAGTACTTAAATAAATTTATAACAATCGCTAATAGAACTTAAGAACAAATAACCAAATTTTATTGTAATCATGACAAAAATACTCTCGAAAGGAGATTAATAACAAATCGGGAAATCACTAGGACAAAAGGTGTAAACAACGGGTCACTTAGTGAAGGGGTCCGCCTTGTGAGACGGACCAATGCGTTCGGGACGGGACGATTGCTCGCGCACACCCACGTCTCGAAGAGAACGCTGAAAAGGAGCACCCAAAAAAAAAAAGGAAAAAGGTGTAATAATAGTAAGTAAGAAAAAAGAAAGAAAGAGAGAGAGAGAGAAAGAAAGAAAGACAAACAGAGAAAGAAAAGACATATTTATTATATACCCGGCACTATTTAATAATAGGTCTGTAATTAACTTGGCCGGCAGCACACCTGCAATGCCGTAGGTGTTGTGGGTGACCATGGGCGGCGGTAGTCACTTACCACCAGGTGAGCCGCATGCTCGTTTGCCCCCTGTGTTGTAAAAAAAAAAACTGTATAGTGCCATTGGTACTTCTTTACAATTTTTTTTTTTTCATTATTTTTTAGTAATAATACATTTTTTTCTATAAAATAATAATATTTAAGCTCGCCTTTGTACATTTGCTTACCTCTATCATATTTTTTATGTATTACTAAATTGTAGAAAAATGTATAAATAAATAAATATTTTTAGAATCCCAATTGGTGAATACTAACACCAATTTTAAGTAATGGGATAAGTTAATTAACGTTCACCAGAGGGAGACTTTGTACAAAAGTCGTTTGCTTGGGTACCTCTGTCCCATTCGTATTTCAACCGTAAAGCAGTTGTGTTTGCATGGCTGTGTTTCGGTTTGAAGGGTGAAATATGGCATGAATTTACAGGGTACAGAGGAATAATACCTGAGTCCTCAGTAATAGCAACGCATGGGGGGTATCATGGGCGAAACAGTATACTCTGTTATGTCCATGGTACTGCTCATGTCTATAGGCGACGGTTACCACTTTCCATCAGGTGGGCCGTCAGCTTGTTTGCCAATTAACAATATGTATATTTGTTCTGGCATAAATGTAGAATTCCATACGCCATTACATTCGGCACGTGTACTAATTGTATTTCACGTAAAGATTGCTAAATAAATTTGAATAAAATTTGGTACACCAGTAGGTTACCTAACCTAACCTAACTTAGTACATAGGATGCTTAATATATTGATTCAGGCAGGGCAAGCCATGTGGTGCCATGTGGTGGTGGTGGTGTGTAATATATATATATATATATATATATATATATATATATATATATATATATATACTAGCTGACCCCGTAAACGTTGTTTTACCACTTATTGCAAAATATAAAAATTGCAATTAAAATACAGGGGTTGATCGTAAAACGATGAAAATTTAAAGTTGTATGTATTTTTCAATGTTAAATTATAATAAAATAAAAATAAAAAAAATTGTCAAACTAATAAAAAAAAATATTTTGGGGTGGGTCACCCTTATCATTGACGGGTATGAAAAATAGATGTTGGCCGATTCTCAGACCTACCGAATATGCACACAAAATTTCATGAAAATCAGTAAAGCCGTTTCGGAGGAGTTTGGTAATAAACACCGTGACACGAGAATTTTATATATTAGATATATATATATATATATATATATATATATATATAAACAAACTTTAATGCAGAGTAAAATTCTATGTACATTTAGCGGCAATTGTCCATCATGATTGATTTATTGTTAGATCCGTCATGGTAGGCTAACTGACCTGCTTCATCCTCACCTATCATCCCTCACTGGTGCCCCGCCAGTGTATACCGATAGCACAGGCGAAGTTACCATTCCCTTATTAACCATTAAAAAAAAGCTCACAGACGGTATCGAGCTTTTAATTTAAGGCAAGACTTAGCCTCCCTTTGCATGTTCTACCGCTTGTATAACGGAGTAGTTTATTTATTTATTCATTAGTACAAATATGTGTACATGGCGGACTTAATGTTAGAAGCATTCTCTCCCAGTCAACCATAGGCAAGTGTCAGAATACTCGAATGCGGTACTAGTAATTATTGATATACATATTTATGTACACTTTATTGCACCATTTATAGAATAGTAAACACATTTAACTGTAATAAGAAATGATACAAAAGGCGGTCTTATCGCTAAGCAATCTCTTCCAGACAACCTTTGGGTAGAGAACATTGAGAAAACAAAGAAAAATAAAGGGTAGGTGGCGCACTATTATATTAGTACTAATTATATATAAACAAATATATACAAAGATATATACATATACATGTATATACATATATATACATAAACAAATACATACATAAACATACACAAACTTAAAAGTACACATACAACAGGAGAGAGTGACACTGGAAGATGAAGATAGAACATGGGAAAAAATAGTTACTTAAAGGGAGAGATAATGGGCTTTAACAGAGGTTTTGAAACTAGCGAGAGATTGAGCGCACCGTATAGAGGTAGGTAGTGAGTTCCACAGACGAACTGCCTGTACAGTAAAGGAATTGGAATAAAAGGAAGTGGAGTGAGTTGGAAATTTGAGACGGAGATTATTGACACTGCGTGAAGTTTGGCCATTGGCCTCACTAAGAAACACAAATCGGTCTTTAAGATAATCAGGAACAATGGGGTTAAAAAGAGTCGCGTAAAGGAGAGATAGGATATGTAAATTACGACGAAAACGGATAGGGAGCCACTTGAGTTGAGTACGAAATTGAGAAATGTGATCATACTTGCGAAGACCAAATATGAAGCGAATACATAAATTTTGAAGACGCTCAAGCTTGTTTAATTGCTCTTCAGTAAGGTCTAAATAACAGGAGTCGGCATAGTCAAGAATGGGCAGGAGTAAGGAGTGTGCAAGCGCAATTTTGGTGGTAACAGGAAGGAAATTGCGTAATCTATTCAAGGCGCTAGTAACAGCAAAAATTTTTTTGCTAACCTCTGAAATTTGCGGAGACCACGATAAAGTACTGTCAAAGATAATGCCAAGATTTTTTACTTTTTTTTTGTAATCTATTAGAACTCCATCAAAAATCAGAGGCGAGAGACTCTCCAAGGAAATTTTTGAAATAAGCCTGGGGCTACCTATAATGATGGCTTGTGTCTTTAAAGGGTTTACAACAAGACCATAAGATTTACTCCAGGCTGATATATGTGTAAGATCAGTGTTAACAGTAGATATTGCTAAAGCGATATCAGCGAGAGGGGCCAGAGAATAAATTTGGAGATCATCTGCATAAAGGTGGTAGGAAGACTGAAGTTTAGAAGAGATAGTGCTAATAAATAAGGCAAAAAGAAGAGGAGATAAGACGCCACCCTGCGGTACGCCAGCAGACGTATGGCACCAAGAAGACAAAACGTCATCAATACGAATGCGCTGCTGACGTCCAAACAGGTAGCTACGAAACCAGTCAATTGCCACTGGAGATATGTTAAGAGAGGCCAACAATTCTAATAAAATATCAAAATCAACAGTATTAAAGGCGTTGCTAAAATCCAATAACGTTAGGACAGTTAATTGAGAATTCTCCATGCCAAAGCGGATATCGTCTGTGATTTTAATAAGAGCAGTCGTCGTACTATGACCAGGGCGGAAACCAGATTGAAAAGGATTTAAAAGATTATTTCTAGTTAAGTAAGAGTTAAGTTTTAGTTGGACAAGGCGTTCTAGGGCTTTGGATAGAAAGGGAAGTATGGAAATCGGACGATAATCTGAGAACGAGGAAGGAATTTTTATTTTAGGTAAAGGAATGATGAATGCTGTTTTCCACACTGAAGGAAAGATACCAGAGGATAGGGAATTGTTGAAAAGTAAGGTGATGGTAGGTAAAAGGATATCAAGGATAGGTAAGATCATATTACGACTAATGCTATCGGTGCCAACGGCATTTGATGATATAGAAAGCAAACTCCTCTCAACATCACAATCGGTCAATTGATCAAAGATAAAAGGAGTACAATCAGGGTTAGACGTGGATGAAAGATAATTCAATGTCTTAGATTTTTCATTACTATCTATGACAGAAGAAGGACAGAAATGATTATTAAGATTTTCAATATCAAGATTAACGGGATTATCGTTACGATTTTTACCAACCCCTAATGACCTGAGAAATTTCCAAACTTTTGCTGGATCACCATTCTCTACAGATTTATGGATGTGGCGTCGTTGAGCCTCCCTACACATCCTATTGCAGAGATTCCTAGCACTGATGTAATCATCACGGTATCTGTCTGGAGCCGACTTAAATTTAGCTTTAGCAATATTTTTCTTCTGTATTATGGACTTGATTTTATCTGTAAGCCAAGGTGCAGGTAAATGCTTAACCCTGACTGGCCGTATCGGAGCATGTTTATCATACAGTTCTAAAATCAATTTATTAAATAATTCCACTTGCTCATTAATGTTAGCTGCTGTGCCAATACTCAACCAATCACATTCCGCAGCATCTTGTCGTAATCGGTCAATGTCAATACCACTAAAATTGCGCTGCATAACGATTTTCCGTTTAACTTTGGGAGGACGAATTTTATATGACAAATAAATGAGGTTATGGAACGAGAATGCATCTGCAGGATATTGGCCGTGTTTGGCAACATGGTCAGGTGATGAGACTAAAATCAAATCAAGCAAGGAAGGGTTACAGTTAGGAAAGAAGTGGGTGGCTTGAAGGGGTAGGATCTCTAGATTGCAAGCATTGGCTAGAGACTTAAGACGATTCGCGCGCAGGTCATTTTTGTGAAGGCATGTATTAAAGTCTCCCATAATAATCGTGTGACTATAGGAAGGGATAAGGTTCTCTAACAGGTTTTCAAGGGAGGAAAAATAATCAGTAGAGGAGGATGGACTATAGAAAACTCCTAGCAGAACCTTGGAATGGGCGAGGGTTACTTCGAGGAAAAGGTATTCAGAAATACAGGAAGAATTAGTACTTAGAGAAGAGTTGATAATAGCATAGGGGATATCAGAACGAAGATATATAGCAACACCACCACCAACCCTACCGGTGCGATCGCAGCGAATTAAGTTGAAACCTGGTAAGGAGTAGGAGGTAGAAGGAAGACAGGGCTTTAGCCATGTCTCCGAAATAAATATAGCATGGAGGGTATTTACATTGAAAGACGATATCAAGTCTGGATAATGTGCAGGAATACTTTGGGCGTTTATGTGGACGGTATTAAAGTTTTTAGTGGAAGAAGAGAATGTAGTCTTTAATATTTCTTCTAAAGGAATAGGCAAACTACGGAAACTTTCATCGCTAGAAGAAGAAGAAACTGAATGAAATAATTCATCAGAATCGGAATTTAAAACCATGTATGTTTGTGTACAAAATAATACTAAAATATATATATATATATATATATACATATCCAAAACATACATACATACTAAAATTACATATATAAACGAATAAATATATATGAATAACAAATATACTTACACATATATGACATAATGTCATATGACAAACGAATACGACATATGACAAACAAAACTCCATGTTACAGGATACGGAGGAATATCTTTTTGAGCAATTTCTCAGAACTACTTACGTAGTTTTGAGAAATTATTCAAAAACATGTCACAGCCACCTTTGATCATCGCACTGCTCGCCATAAATAAAGAATTTATCCTTACACGCTAGAACCTAAATGGTCACATACAATGCAGTTCCAGAGGAGTTGCATTCCGCAAACACTCAGGTTGTAGAATAAGCTTGCTGAGATTTTCCCTACATGCTACAATATGGAATTCTTCAAAAAGGGCGTATTTTTTTTTGGGTGAAAATGGTATGGTAACCCCGCCTGCGCTAACGGGATACGCTGGCGGTGCACCAATGAAGGGTGATAGATGAGAATGAAAACTGGCCAGTTAGCCCATCATGATGAATTCATCAGGAATTAACCATGATAGTTTCCAGGGAGAACCGCGAGGAGGTCGACCTGGTTGGGTATATTGCTAGCAATAGGATTCTCAGTCTCCATTACTAACAATCCCTTTCCCCCCTAAAGAGCGTATTAAGGTTTCTTCAAGGTATGCAGTGCGCACGTGACACCCCTAATATTTCTTTAGGGGGTGGGAGGAATTGTTAGTAATGGGGAGGTTAGTCCCCATCGCTATCAATATACCTTATCAGGTCGACCTCCAAGCGTTTCCCCCTGGAAACTATTGCGACTAATTTATCATTGAATTCGTCACAATGGGCTAACTGACCTGCCTTTTCATCCTCACCAATCATCTCTCGCTGGTGCCCCGGTAGTGTATATCGATAGCATAGGCGGGGTTACCATCCCATAGAAAAAAATCTACAGGGGGGAAAGGGATTGTTAGTAATGGGTTCTAACAGCCCATTGCTAACAATACACCTAATCAGGTCGACCTCCACGCGGTTCCACCTGGAAACCATTGTGGTTACTCCTTTATGAATTCTTCACGATAGGCTAACTGACCTGCTTTCATCTTCACCTATCTATCTCTAGTGCCCCGTCAGCGTATACCGATAGAGTAAGTGATGTTACCATTCCATTTTCACCAATTAAATAAAATATTTCTACAACACAAGGGGTGTCACGTGTCCAGTGACCGTTTACCGTCAGATAAGCTATGTCCCTGTTTGCCCATTGCGTGGTATCAAATAAATAAAAAAACTACTTTAAGATTTGCTTTCTTAATATTACCAAAGTCACGTTTGTCATTTAATGCTAAGCTTATTCAAGTAGGCGTTTTGCTCAAGCTAGCATGTCTTTCTAAGTAGCACGTAGCTTAGTATTACTTGAACTTATTGAGAGACAAGGCCCAGCAGCTGAACCATTTTTTTCTGCAACTTAAAATTGAAAAAGCAAACTGACGGACCACCTGACAGAAAGTAGGGGGAAGGAGGGAGACTTTGTACAAAAGTCGATTGCTTGGGTACCTCTGCCCCAGTCGTGTTTCAAACGTGAAGCAGTTGTGTTTGCATGGCTGTGTTTCGATTTGAAGGGTGGGATATGGCGTGAATTTACAGGGTACAGAGGAATAACACCTGAGTCCTTAGGAAAGGCAACGCATGGGGGTATCACGGGCGAAACAGTATACTCTGTTATATCCATGGTACTGCTCATGTCTATAGGCGACGGTTATCACTTTCCTTAAAATGGGCCGTCAGCCTGTTTGCCATTCTAAGTTGCATAAAAAAAAATCAGTTTAAAGTGATTTTTTTTTCTGATTTTGGTTGCATAATGATATTAACTAGACCTAAATATTGGCCCTAAACGAGGTTAAAGATGACACCAGTGGCATTATCTTTCTATGGGCTCTAAGTTGAAAAAAAATTATTTTAATGTCAATAGAAAAACTATCAACTTGGAATGGCAGACCAGATTTTGGTTGTTCTTAGTGGCAGACAAGCTAACAGCCAACATGATAAGAAGTAATAACAGTTTGGGTCAAACACCAAAAATAATCTGCGGCTGAATTAGACTATGCTTTATGCAAGATTCTTAAGGTGCCTTTATAAATCTAATTATAACAACTGATGTATATTAAGATACATTTAATAAGTTCTGGAGAAGGGATGTTCAGAAAATTACTCTAAGAAATTACAGCTTTTGATTAAAAATAATGTGTGTATTAACAAAAGCTTTCACTGGATACTGCAAACTAAACGAGCATATGCCCAACTAGGCTTATGCCCAAAACTTGTTTGCAGATTTTGTCACAATGAGGAAGAAACGCCGCAGCACTGAATGTGTGGCTGTAGCCCACTCATACATAAACGATATATCTCCTTTGGAAAAGACATTTTATATTCTGAGGAGATAAAAAACATCGCTACAAAAAAATATTTTAAAATTCCTATCATTGATAAGAATTAGCAGTGAACGAGTGAGTTAACGGTACGGAACGGTAGGGAAAAAAATAAAATTATAATGTAAAAATTTGACATTCATAAGCGGCTAAAATGTCCTACATGAATAAATGATTTTTGAATTTGAATTTGAATTTGAATTTGAATTTAAGAAAGAGTGAGAGCAAAAGATAATGGAAAGGTCGCAGTGTCACTGGTTTTTCTACTTGAAAAAACCCATTTTTCCAATAATAATAATAAGTTCTGGAGAAAAGGTAAGAAAATCCAAAAATAAATAATGCACATTTATTGACAGAAACTAAAAACAAATCAAACAGTAATTATTTTACTACATAACGTAATATTTATATCTATTTTATTCGATAATGGAAACAACTAACTTTAAAACTCATGCAAGTGTTACACAACTTCGATATTTTAAGACGACTGTTTACATAGAGCCAGAGCAGTATACAAATCTACAGTATCTATTTTTTTTATATACGACTTAGAATGGCAAAAAAGGGCAAATCATCGCAATTTTGAATGTTGAAGCAGCATCACATGGAAATGTTTGTAGTCGACACATGTTTAGAGTTATTATTTTACTATTGTCAAATTTTCTTTTAGAGATTTCGCCATCTGAAATATTTGTATCATTGTTTGAAGAACCTTTGAATTCACAGCTAAAGACTGAGTATGAATTTAAAAAAGAATTCATTAGTGTTTTAATTACTGTTGGTAACACTGTTATTCGAAAATCGAACTTTTAGTTTAAATAGCGATTTCTTCATTCACATTGTTACTGTCACTGGAGCTTGCACCGTCTGAGCTACTGCTGGAACCAGAGTTGGAACTGCTAGAGTTGTTTGAGCTGCTGCTGGAACTGCCATTTGCGTTTGATCCGCTTGAGTTGTTTGAGCTGCTGCTGGAACTACCATTAGCGTTTGATTCGCTTGAGTTGTTTGAGCTGCTGCTGGAACTACCATTTGCGTTTGATCCGCTTGAGTTGTTTGAGCTGCTGCTGGAACTACCATTTGCGTTTGATCCGCTTGAGTTGTTTGAGCTGCTGCTGGAACTACCATTTGCGTTTGATTCGCTTGAATTGTTTGAGCTGCTGCTGGAACTGCCATTTGAGTTTGATCCGCTTGAGTTGTTTGAGCTGCTGCTGGAACTACCATTTGCGTTTAATCGGCTTGAGTTGTTTGAGCTGCTGCTAGAATTATCATTTGTGTTTGATCCGCTTGAATTATTTGAGCTGCTGCTAGAATTGTCATTTGAGTTTGATCCGCTTGAGTTGTTTGAGCTGCTGCTAGAATTATCATTTGTGTTTGATTCGCTTGAATTATTTGAGCTGCTGCTAGAATTGTCATTTGCATTTGATCCGCTTGAATTGTTTGAGCTGCTGCTGGAGTCATTTGAGTTTGACCCGCTAGAGTTGTTTGAGTTACTGTTAGAATCGTTTGAGTTTGATCCGTTTGAGTCATTTGAACTACTGTTGGAATCGTTTGAGTTTGATCCGCTTGAGTTGTTTGCGCTGTTGCTGGAACTTCCATTTGAGTTTGATCCGCTTGAATTGTTTAAACTGTTGCTGGAGTCATTTGAGTTTGATCCCCTTGAGTTATTTGAGGTACTGCTAGAATTGTTTGAATTTGATTCGCTTGAGTTGTTTGAGCTATTGCTGGAACTACCATTTGAGTTGGAACCGCTTGAGTTGTTTGAGCTGTTACTGGAACTACCATTTGAGTTTAATCCGCTTGAGTTGTTTGAGCTGCTGCCGGAACTACCATTTGAGTTTAATCCACTTGAGTTATTTGAGCTGCTGCCGGAGCTGCCATTAGAGTTTAATCCGCTTAAGTTGTTTGAGCTGCTGCTGGAGCTGCCATTTGAGTTTAATCCACTTGAACTGCCGCCTAAGTTAGATCCTGCACTGCTCAAACTATTTGAAGCATTAATTCCTGCAATATAAATAAATAATAGTCAACGACTGTTCTCTTGTATTCAGAAACGCTTTATTATCTATCTGTTTTTACTTTTTGCGTCTAGAATAATTGTCTTTTACTTAATAAAGATTACTCGGCGTAATTCAACTCAGTTAAGATACCTACAAAAATAAATTTAATTTGTCATAAATTGTTAATTTCATATTCCATATTTTATTTTACATTTTACCTGCAATCTTAGTCATCTTAATGAATATCTATCCATCAGGACGATACTTACATTTTTTACTTGTTCGTTTAAACAATGGTGTCATTCTACTACTATTTAATAATGCATACGCTTATTGCATTTCTATGGTAAATATCCTAATTTATTTTATTTCTGTAATTCAGCAGTTCAGTAATCTTTTAATATACAATACTATTTAATGATACTAAAATTTTATTAATCTCGTAGTAAAATCGTTCATACTAGATGGAAGTGTGAATATAAAAATAATAGTAGCACATTAAACGAAAGAAACAAAGTATTAACCTGCACCAGCCGCGCCTGAAACTCCAGCCGAAAGTCCATTTCCACTTGCATTCTGTACTGCATTAGCACCAGCATTTGCTGCAGCGCTCACAGCTCTAGCACTTTGCGTTGATCCGATAACACCTACATTACCAGCTCCGTTGGCAGCAGTAGTTGAGTCATCGGCTACAGTGTTACCGGCTGTGTTGGCTACGTTTATGGCTCCTGTTGCACCTGTACTTGCAACCTCACTAACTGCACCGGCAGGGTTACCACTGGCAATATCGGTTGCAGCTTCAGCGGTAGCAAGTATTCCGGTCGCGGCTCCAGTGGCAACAATGTTAGCGCCTCCGGTTGCAGTTCTTGCTGCAACACTGCCTGCGGTGCCAGCTGCTATTTGTGATCCCACACTGGCTGCATTTGCGCTAGCACCGGCAACACCCGACACGCCTCCCGCGGCATCTAAGCCAATGTCTGTTAACATAACGTAATTGATATTGTTAATATCTTGTATCTGTTCTATTAATCCACTAGTATATAAGCTGATTTCAAGGAAGTTGTATTAGACGTGCCTCGAATAAATAAATTTCGAAAAAGATGAAATAGCTATGATCTTTGCCAAGTGTGGAAATTACTAATAAATCCCCCCCAAAAGGGAGCCCTATGTTCAACAATAGACATTTAATAGCCGATATACTGATGATAATCATAAATAAATTAGGTATTATGAAGTATGGATAGGTACTTACTGGCGATATTTGGAAAGCAAACGGCAGAGCCGACCTGCAAATAAAATTAGTTCAATGTAAAAAAACATGAAGGCGAATCTAAAACCTCGCACATTTTAAGTAACTCAAAATAGCAAATAAGCTATCAACCCGCCTGATGGAAAGTGGTAATAATCGTCTATACACAGAGAGAATTTACCAGAGGGGAAGTTTGTACAAAAGTCATTTGCTTGAATACCTCTGTCCCAAGTGTTTCTTCTGTGAAGCAGTTGTATTTGCATGTCTGTGTTTCGGTTTGAAGGGTGGGATATGGCAGTGAATTTACAGAGTCCAAAGGAATAACACCTGAATCGTCAAGAATGGCAATGCATGAGAGGTATCATGAACGAAACAGTACCTTACATTTTTAAATAATAATGATATTAAAATTGACAATTACCAGAGCGAGAAGCAGAACGAACCTCATGTTGCTGATCATTGCGGATGTATTCAAACTTATGAAAAATCTGTCATAATATATCCTTAATATAGTAACCATAACAATGAGTATGACGTGTTTAACATTCTGTTTGTTCATGGCATGGTATATTAATAAAACCACGGATATTAAAGCAAATATAGGCTTATACGACATACCTGTATAAAACTGAAAACGGTCTGTCCGTTCTTTTACAAGTTTAGTTATATATTTTTTTATGGTGACATAGAATGAATGATAAAGGGTCATTCGTTTTAAGCATCATCGTTATGATCATATCAGCTGTTTCCTGTCCACTGTTGAATATAGGCCTCCACCATAGATATCCATAAGGAACAGGACCGTTCCGAGAACTTTTCGTGATGTTTGAAGAGGAACGCTGCTGTCCATCCCTCGATTATTAAGTTCCCCTAGTCGCCTTTTACAACATCTACGGGAAAGGAATGGATGACCAATTCTATGCCAGGATACACACAGCTTAGAATTAGCCACTACCAGTTAATTCTTGGTGAATTCGCCTAAATCAGCTAAACTGTGTCTATTCCAGTACAGAGGGAGTTACTGTTCTATTCTTCAGGGGGAGACTTACACGTTTACATGAATATCTCTGTTCTATCCGTGTTTCTGCCGTGAAGCAGTTGTGCTTGCATGACTGTTTTGGTTTGAAGGCTAGGATATGGCGGTGAAATTACAGGCTACAGAGGCATAATATCTTAATCCTCATGAATTATGGGCAAAACCATGTATTCAGTGATGTCCGTGGTGCTGTTCATACCCGACTTTACATAGGTGGACACTATTTTCCACCATATAGCAAAATGTCTCATAAAGCATTTATCAACAGAGGCGCCAATGAGACGCTAATGATGAGAGGATAGGCGTGGTTTTAAAAACTGCATTATCAAATTGCCATTCAAAAATTGCAATGCACAGTGTTTTTGTTGAGGAAGAGAGATAAATTATAAGAACTATTGAGGTCAGAAGGGAAAACAATATTAGGAGATTTGATACGACGCGACGAACTTATGAACATTATAATAGAAGGTAAGATGAAAGGAAGGAGGGGAAGAGGGAGACCAAGGCATAGTTACATCAGGCAGATCAAGGAAGGAGTTGGTGTCGTGTCGTATCAAGAGGTGAAGGGACTCGCTGAAAATCGTAGTGAGTGGCAAGAGCTCCACCGACAAGAGCGCAGCTCTTAAATAGGAAACATAGTGTTTTTGTTATTATATAAAGACTACAGGTAAAGACGGAGGAAATTATCTAACTCGCAACTAATACAGGGCTACCTACTTTAATCACTAATTATGCAAACATGCATCTGTGTCAACAGAAATTGAATAATGTGTACATTGCTGAATTTATTCTTTTTAGAATAGCTTCTTATGGCTTCTCGAAATTGAACAGCACTTTCAAGAATGGATATATGCCATTATCTTTATGTTGTCCCTTATCCCAATTGTTTTTAGAGTCGGTTTAATATGATTTTCTCTTCTCGTTCTTCTCGATTCGCAGATGTTTCCATATTCAATTTAGAAAAAACTGGCAACACTTATAATTCCTCTGATATTGCGAGTGATCATGGGCGGTTGTAGCCATTTACCATCAGGTGAGGCACATGCTCGTTTGCACTCTGTGTTTTACAAAAAAATTCTCTCCCACTCTGGCCATATCATTGTTCATAGAGTCCATCCATGTCTTTTTAGGTCTTCCTCTACCTTTATAGGAATCCATGCTCCCATATTAGAAAAATATACCTCGTCAAGTTGACCTTCACGCGGTTCTACCTGGAAACTATCGTAATTGATTCTTGGATTTGACACTATAGGATAACTGACCAGCTTTCATCCTAACCTATCATCTCTCACTGGTACTCCGCCAGCGTATATCGATATCGATCATTAAAAAAAGAATCATAAAGAAAACATCCTAAATGAATAGATAGATGTTCGTTGCTCTTTCACGTACAAACTGTTAAACGGATTTGGATGAAATTTGGTACAGGGATAAATTATGTTGTGATGTTTAAAAAGGGAAGCTGCTGCTTATCCTTCGAGCAGTAAGTTCCCTTAGTCGCCCACAGGAAAGGAAGGGATTACCTATTCTGTACCAGGACCAGAAGACGACAAAGATTACCGTTTCATAATTTAATCTTCAAAACAATTGTTGCCTATTAAAGAACATTTTCAGACATTTAGTCCGTTCTGTAGTTTGTTAATCCCAAAATATTCAGACGAATCCATATAAGACACACATTTTGGAAGTAGTTCTAGCAAGTATTGTTAACATAACAATAGAGTTATAATAAAAACCAATGCAACTGTTAATACAGAGACAGGTGCATTCAGATGTAAATATATTTTTGGTTATATGACAACAAATATACACATAATATGATTTCATGTCGACTCTGAAAAGGTAAAATACATTATACGCCATTTAAAGATCTCCGCCAACACTCCTTCCCGTATCAATGTCTTTTTTTTACAACACAGGGGGCAAACGAGCATGTGGCTCACCTGGTGGTGACTACCGCCGCCCATGATCACCCACAACATCAACGGCATTGCAGGTGTGCTTAAAAAGGAATATGCTCTTTTCTTGAAGGTTATAATGTCGTATCGGTTCGGAAATACTGCTGCTGGAAGTTAATTCCAAAGAATGGTTGTGCGTAGAAGAAAGTGCCTTGAAAAGCGCACACGAACTATGCGAGCTGCGGCCCGCGGTACGAGGCGTGAGTTTTTGAAAAAAAAATTAATGGAAATTTTGAACTAGGTGTTGTTGTCCAGAAGTCCATATCACTGGTAAGTCGGTTACAATTATTTTGTTTAATTCCGCTACCATTAGTATGTGTGCAACTGCCAACACTCGAAGTTTGACCACTATTACTACCAGAAGTACCACAATCTTCCATATTAGCTATCAGTCTCCGACAGCCACTCTGTCCACGTATGTTTTGTGACACGTGTTGCACCTCTAAACGAGGTATCTTCAGGCAAATTAATATGGCGAGAGGTACGATGGTAAAAAGGTAACGATGGGATCAAGTCATGTCATCGTCATTAACATATCAGCCTTTAACTGTCCACCGCTGATAATTTGTTTGTTACCGCGGTGTTTGTTACCAAACTCCTCCGAAACGGCTTTACCGATTTTTATGAAATTTTGCGTGCATATCGGGTAGGTCTGAGAATCGGCCAACATCTATTTTACATACCCCCCAATGATAAGGGTGACCCACGCCTAAATATTTTTAATTTTTTGATAAAATTACTTGTTTTAATTTTTTTATGCTTTAGCATTGAAAAATATATACAACTTCAAATTTTCACCCTTTTACAATCAATCCCTGTTTTTTAATCGCGATTTTTGTATTACGCAATAGGATTGCAAGATGGCAAGCGGGTTGGCAACCGCTTGCCATCTTGTCATCAAACCATCTGCAAACCGCAGTTGGGCTTTTACAGATGTTTTAATAGAAAAAAGAAGGGGTGGCACATTCTATGTCGGAAAGTTTATACGTCAAATTTTTTTTTAATTCATTATCTGGCCAGGTACTCGTTTATGATTCGGTATCCGGCCGGATTTTAATTTTTGAAGCCGTATAAGCCGAATACCGAATAACTATTCGATATCCGGGTTAAATTAATCGATATTCAATAGCTATCGAATATCCGTTTCATCTCTACTAATTACCAGTCAGATTTAATCAATTCGACATTTTTATAAATATATCGATGTATCGAATAAAAAAACTATTTGTCAAACGATCGAATTAGTCCGATATATCGTATGGCGAAATTCGATATGTCCATATTAAGTAAATATCCCCCTACTGTTGGTTTTGTTTTTTTTTAAGCTACTTAATAAGTAAATATTATGTCCCACAAACCTTAGTTGTGCAAAACCAGTTATTTTGATCTAAAAACTAAACTACTAAATTGAATTTGATAATAGCTCTATGGGACTAATCTGTAAGTTTCAGTACTTTCATATGCAGTATTAACTATGCACTGCGTGTTCTACCGCTTATACAACGGATTGTGCTCAGAGGAATTATTCAATATGATGCCTACGGCCACTCTCTATCATCGTACGGCTCGCCATTGACAGGGAGTTCACCCTCATACCTTACAGCCTAAATGGTCGCGTACAACGCGGTTTCAGAGATGCTTTCTCCCACGAACACTCAGGTTATGGAATGAGCTCCCTGCCGAGGTTTTCCCGAGAGACTACAGCATGGGGTTCTTCAAAAGGGGGTAAAGAGGTTTCTTCAGGGTCGGCAACGCGCGCGTAATACCTCTGGTATTGCAGGCGTTCATAGGCTACGGTAACCGCTTACCATCAGGTGGGCCGTATGCTTGTTTGCCACCTCAGTGGTATAAAAAAAAATATATAAAAAAAATATTTTTCAAATCGGTTCACAACTGACGGAGTTATGGGGTGACAAACATACATAAACTAGAATTGAAAACCTCTTTCTTTCTGAAGTCGGTTATTTTTTTTTATACAACTTAGAATGGCAAGCAAGCTGACGGGCCACCTGATGGAAAGTGGTTACCGTCACCTATAGACCTATAGACATGAGCAGTACCGTGGACATAACAGAGTATACTGTTTCGCCCATGATACCCCCCATGCGTTGCCATTCCTGAGGACTCAGGTGTTATTCCTCTGTACCCTGTAAATTCACTGCCATATCCCACCCTTCAAACCGAAACACAGCCATGCAAACACAACTGCTTCACGGTAGAAACACGAATGGGACAGAGGTACCTAAGAAAACGACTTTTGTACAAAGTCTCCCTCTGGTATATATATATATGGCATATGGCTGTATTATAATTTATAATATCCGTAATATTATATTAAAAAAACACAAGCGACCCGCCCCAGCTTCACACTGGTGCAATACTATATGATGGGAAAGTCCTTGTCACCCCATTGTAATACCATCGATGATATGCATCATATTCTATTAGAGTGTCGTATTAACACGAAGGAAAGAGAAGAACTCACGCGCCACTTTTAATTAAATAAATTTAATGTTGGTCTTATTCAATCCATGTTAGCTGAACTTAAACCAGAAGTTTTTGAACATCTCTGTAAATTATTGATGCCCATTAATTCTTCTCTTTCCGCGTCTAGGGAAATAGATAAAGTTTTGTTTGAGAAATCAGTTCAGGGTACGATAGGGCTGATATACCTGAAGAAGGTAAAAGCCCTTTAAATAATAATAAAACAAAATATACCATACAATTTCGAATATATGTCTTTTTAATTTATCGTAACGTACTTATAAGTACGATAAATTTGTCAGTGTTTCTCTACAATATTATGCATGTATTATACTTATAAACAATCCTCTAGAATCACTCTATCTATTAAAAAAACTGCATCGAAATCCGTTGCGTAGTTTTAAAGATTTAAGCGTACAAAGGGACAGACAGACGGGAAGCGACTATGTTTTATACTATGTAGTGATGATAAAAAAAAACCGATTATGTAAATATTTTAATCTATGTTCAAATGTATGTCTGTAACTGTTTAGTTTTTTTTTTTTTGTGTACACAGCCAACCTGTTTTTATTTAATACGAGATATTTTTATAAAAATGTTATTTTAAGAAAAAAAAACGCAATGACGTCGTTCTTATTTTAAATAATTCAAAATCATGTTTGTACAAGTTGTAGCTAATGGCATGTTACATTACACGCGTAATAACACCTGAGTCCTCAGGAATGGCAACGCATGGGCGGTATCATGGGCGAAACTGTATACTCTGTTATGTCTACGGTACTGCTCATGTCTATAGGCGACGGTTACCAGTTTCCATCAGGTGGGCCGTCAGCTTGTTTGCCATTCTAACTTGCATAAAAAAAATATTTATTTATTTATTCATTTTTTTATCATTGAAAGGGTGACACGTTTGACCAGAATCTTACCTGATGGTAAGCGATAATGTGGTCAAAGATGAAGCTAGCGAGTCCAAGAATAGTCCATTCACATTTGCATTAAATTGGTACAGCAGTATTTGCGTGATGTCGGAACAAACATACAAACAAACAGACAGACAGACAAAATTTCTAAATATTTATTTTTTAACATCTTTTGATCTTCCCTATTTGATAAGACTTCCCCTATCAATTTTTATTAAATGTCCCATTTAAACAGTGTGGTCCCGGCGTAGAATAGGCCACCCCTTCCTTTCCTGTAGGTGTCGGAAGAGGCGACTAAGGGAGCTTAATTGTCGAGGGACAGACAGTAGCATCTCTCTGGGGGGAAACGGACAGGTAGCAATAGAGTTTGACAGCCCCATTGCTAGCAATATGTCCTATTAGGTCGAGCTTCGCCCTGGAAACCATCGTGAATAATTCTCGTTGAATTCGTCACGATGGGCTAACTGACCTGCTTCATCCTTACCTATTATCCTTCACTGGTGCCCCGCCGGTGTATACCGATAGTGCTATACTATTTCATTATCACCTATAAAAAAAAGTAGCATCTTTCTTAAGATATTACTAAGAGTCTAGCTGCGGTTGCCAATCCGCCTGCCAAGCGTGACAACTACTAGTAAAATTGCTTAATGGAGGCTGTATTCAACAGTGGACGGTTAACGGCTCATATTGGAGGGAAAGGAATTGTTAGTAATGGAGACTAAGAATCCCATTGCTAGCAATATACCCAACCAGGTCGACCTCGCGGTTCCCCCTGGAAACTATCATGATGAATTCATTCTTGATGAATTCATTATGATGGGCTAACTGTCCTGTTTTCATCCTCATCGATCACCATTCACTGGTGCTCCGCCAGCGTATCCCGTTAGCGCAGGCGGGGTTACCATTCCATTGTCATCCAATAAAAAAAAGGCTGATATTTTTTTTAACAACACAAGGGGCAAACGAGCATGCGGCTCACCTGATGGTAAGCGACTACCGCCTCCCATGATCACCCGCAACACTAACGGCATTGCAGGTGTGCCGCCGGCCTTTTAAAAAGGAATATGCTCTTTTTTCGAAAGTTATGTTGATATGGTGATGATGATGATGATCTCGCATGTACAGACACCGACCAGTTAAAAAATTTTATTATATTAATAAAATAAAATAATGTATAGCTTTATTATATACACAAGTACATATGTTTGAATATGATGTACAATTTAAAAACACTTGTTTAAATGTTCACAAATTTACAATAGACACCTACTGTTAACAGAACTCAAGTGGCCATACATTTTGTTTATTTTTTCATACATACATTGATGTTAACAATGTTCAAAATTGTTAATTTACTGACGTATAACATGAAAGATTGCGTGTAGGTACGATTTTTAGATTCCGTACTTAAAAGGTGCAAAGGAACCCTTTGTCCGGAGGGGGGGGTGTTAGTAATGGGGCTTAATAGATCCATTGCTAGCAATACACCCTATCAGGTCGACCTCCACGTGGCTCCTCCTGGAAACCACCGTGATTGAATAAATAATAATTTTGTAATATATGTAAATATTTATTGTACTTTCCGTTTAGCACTACTACTGCCCACTCACTGCTTCCTATGCCACTGCGTTAGGTTGACTGGAAGAGATCTCTTTTAGAGATAAGTTCGCCTTTGCTAACATTGTTATTAACTTATTGTTGTTACTGTATGTTTTAATGCAATAAAGAATACATATATAAATAAATAAATATATATATATATATATATATATATAAATGTACGGAACTGTGTGCGTTTTTCTCCCACCTCACCGGTTTTACGTATATACATATTTTTACATATTACGCGTTAATTTTCTGTCTTTCAAAACGATTTTGACCACTCTTTATTCGGCGATGACGCTTTCAAATGAAGAAGATTCACAACTAGAGGGAGACTTTGTACAAAAGTCGATTGCTTGGGTACCTCTATCCCACACGTGTTTTATCCGTGAAGCAGTTGTGTTTGCATGGCTGTGTTTCGGTTTGAAACGTGGGATATGGCGTGAATTTACAGGGTACAGAGGAATAACACCTGAGTCCTCAGGAATGGCAACGCATGGGGGGTATCATGGGCGAAACAGTACTCAATAGTTTTTTTTTTTTTTATGATGACGTAATCTAAATAAACTGGCAAATAAATAGATACTGGGGGGAAAGGGATTGTTAGCGATGGAGTTTGACAGCCCCATTGCTAGCAATATGCTTTACTAGGTCGACCTCCACGTAGTTCCCCCTGGAAACTATCGTGAACAATTCTCGTTGAATTCATCACGATGAGCTAACTGACCTACTTCATCCTCACCTATCATCCTTCACTGGTGCCCCGTCGGTGTATACCGATAGCGCGGGTGGGGTTACCATTCCATTATCATCCATTAAACAAAAAAAATACATAGATACTCTTTATTGTTTCCTCCATGAGATTACAATAGTAAACTTATTATAGATACAAACAATTACAAGAAAACAATTACACTGAGAGAACAATGGGCGGCCTTATCGGTAAGAGCGATCTCATGCCTTATAGGATAGGCCTATGTTCAGCAGTGGACAGTTAAAGGCAAAAAAAATAAGATTTTTAATTAAACCATTAAACCGTTACCAATCTGTAAGTATATCCTTGCAGATAAAAAAAAATTCTTAGTCAGTTTATAACTGACGGAGTTATGAGTTAACAAACATAAAAAAAAAATTAAAGAATAAATGAATGAATGGTTTATTTTCTCTTCACAAAAGGTAAAATAAAGTGACAACTTGAGGTACAATTTGATATGAAGACCAATTTTGTGAGAGACTGGTGCTTGCGGTAGGTTTAGAAGAACCTGTACTACAAGTCACTAGTGCCCCATGTCCATGGACTACACAAATACAAGGCAACCAATTAGTGTTATAATACACAGATAACAATAATGAGATATCAAGTGCAAGAATATACTTAACATTAAAACTTATTTCTAATATATAACTTAGGCAAAGTTAATTACAAAATACAGACTATGTGTACGTGTGCGTGTGCGTGTACGTGTGCGCGTGTGTGTGTGTGTGTGTGTATGTGTGTGTATGTGAATACACCTAAATTGCGAAACTTCTTTTTAAAATCGGTTGAAAATATTACAAATGTAAAAGAGAGTTTATCTGTCGTATGAAATAAAATATATGTAATCGGTTAATTTTCATAACATTTCTTCAGGACTATTCTGTAAGTATATCCTTTCAGGTAAGAAAACAATTTTCCAGATCGGTACACAACAGACAGAGTTTTGAGGTAATAAATATATAAAAAAAAATATAACCGAATTGACCTTGACCTCCTTCTTTTTAAAATCGATTGGAAATAAAAAAAAAAAAACACAATATTAAAAACATATTTTATTAAAAAATACTGTACAAAATTAATTAACTTAAAATAAACATACTTAGACTTGACCTGAGCATAATCGGAGGAAAATATATCTAATTTTAAACATTCGTATCGTTTACACACATTTAAAATATACAATCGGGACTTAACGTGACGTAAAAATCTTTACAGGTAAATAGTAGCTACATATCTGCTTTTTTATTGCCAACGTTTCAACGTGGTTTGCACCACGTCGTGACCACAACAGGACCTCTAGACAAATGTCAAGCGAATTCGTCGATGGAATCGACATCGCTAGCGAGTCTGTGAGACAGAATGAGATAGCAACGCCGGGTGACTCATTCTAACTCACGTACTTGCTAGCGGAGTCGATTCTATCGACGAATTCGCTTGCCACTTGTCTAGAGGCCCTGAACTATCTGTAAAAGCTTTTACATCGCGTTAAGTCCTAACTGTTAATTTAAAATATATCTTTATTAAAAAGAGTTTAAATCTAATAGGTGTTACCAAATTATCTGCATTCCTTGCTACAGGGCATAGTATTAGATATACACATTACGATAAAAAAGGAATTTCATGTCGAAATAATATGAAATTATTTAAAAAAAATAATAAAATACTTGAATTTCTTCATTGCTTGTAAAACGTCCTCATAACTATACTTGTCTCTATCACATCGTTGGTCGCGCTCACTCCGTCAGTTTTAGCGTAGCGTTTTTTAAAAGGCACTTTTTACACAGGATGAAAATTTTACATATATTAAGGATTTTTTTTTTGTATGAATTAATAAATTGTATGACATTTGCGACACGAAATTCTATCATTATAATAACGTATATGCGTAATACTATATCCCCTTAAAGGGAATGCAGATAATTTGGTAACACCTTATATATCAATACATAGCTGAAATAGCTTACGCTGTATTTAAATAGAACATAACAAAAGATTGTGGAGTACAGATCGTACATAATATTTATAGTTTTTATATTACTAGTGGTCGCCGCGTGGTCGAAATTCGACCATAACATATAAATTAATTTATAATTGTTATGACATTTTATATTCAGTTTGACATTAATTAAGACTATAGACAAATAATATTAAGGATAAACAATATTAATCTATTTTCAATTTGACCACAGACTTTAACAATAAACACAAGAGTATAGTGTGTGTATGTGTATGTGTGTGTAGTGTGTGTATGTGTGTGTAGTGTGTGTATGTAGTGTGTGTAGTGTGTGTATGTGTGTGTAGTGTGTGTATGTAGTGTGTGTAGTGTGTGTATGTGTGTGTAGTGTGTGTATGTGTGTGTAGTGTGTGTATGTGTGTAGTGTTTTTATTGATTTAATGTATTTTCTATGCATAATTTAAAAAAAAATGTTATCATTCTGCACTCCTTCTCTATATAAACTATAAGTGTGCCAAATTTCATACTCCTCCGTTCGCGCAATTTTCGTAAAAATTGGTACAAAGTTTTTTTTTGTTTTATTTACCAAATTTGAAATTGGCACGCATCTCAATTGTTTCCTTTTGGCCACCCTTTACGGCCCTAGACTTCTAAATTCCTTTCGCTAATATACATATATGGGGGGAGGGAAGGAAGGGATTGTTAGTAATTCGAACTACCAGTATTTGTATCCACCCGGCATCCGTGCGAAACCGGGACGGGCCGCTAGTTTGAAATAAAATTTCAAAATGAAGGAGTGGTTTTATTTATTTTTTATTGATACAGCCAAAAGTTGACTGTTATATAGCATTAAATCCATGGCAGAGAATGTTATATCCGCATTAAATCCGCATTTTGTACGAAACACTTTTTGTAATGTGGTAAATAAAAAATAAATAAATCTATGGTTACAGGTTTTGCAGCCTGACGAATTCCAATATTTAGTAATAGTACTATCAGGGTATCTGCTATTGTCAAGTTAGTATGGGAGGCTAGATTTTTTGTTGTTTTTCAACCCGTTTCTCTTTGGGGGGCATTGTTTAGTTTCCCTGGTAGAACATTAATTATAGGATGTTGCTGTATAAGTTTTCATCCTGTAGATTTCAAAGGTACCCGTAATTTTCTGTACAGATATTTATAATATCATTTCGTTATATCAAAAAATCTGATGAAACTTCTCTTGAAGTTCATTTGAAGTTCATCAAAGTGTGTCAACGTCGTAATTGTCTGTTAATTTTCAAATCCAACTGAACTGAACAATTTACAATAAAGTCTCTTATGCTGCGTAAAATTCGTCCCTTTAGAAACACATCAAAGTGCAAAAACTTCGGTATTTTCCGTTAATTTTCAAAAACAACTGAACAATTTTCAATAATGTCTCTTGTGTTTGTAAAGTTCTTTCTTTCAGAAACTCATCAAAGTGTAACCAACTTCAGGTTATTCTGCCAATTTTCAAAAATAACTGAACAATATTCAATAATTCTTGAAACTGTTAGTATCTTTTTATAATAAGATTACTATTGTTATCTTTTAAAGAAAACAATAAAGAGTATCTATCTATCTATTTGATTGATTATTTAAAATGTTCTCTGAAGGTGATATTAAACATTGATCATAGAATTCGTTGCATATAAATTTATTAAACTTTGCACTTGCTTAATTTTTGCGCTTTGGGATTTTTCAAATCCTTTTTTACCGCTCGTATTTCTTTTATCTTTAGAGAAATAAATGTCTTAAACCGTAAACCGTATTCACCTGTGTAAATATGTACATAAAATATTTTATCTTCTAATCCGGGTATCAAATTTCATTAAAATTTATCCAGTGGTTTTTGCTTGAAAAAGTAACAAACATCCATCTATACATACATACATACATACATACATACATACATACATACATACATGCATACATACATATCTGTCACGCCTGTCTCCCATTAGGGTAGGCAAAAACAATTGAACGCCAAATGCTTCGATTCAAACAAACCTCTTTCGCTTCTTCCACATTTATCAATCTTTTCATACACGCTCGCCGGTTATGGGTACCTAACAAATTCACATTTGTTATAAATTGTTTTTATAAATTAACACGCAATTGCAAAGTTACTGTAAGCATCAGTTATAAACTTACACCAGACATTTTCTTCAGACTTATTAGGTTTCTTATACTTCGTATTGTTTGTTTAAATTAATTTATTTTTAAGCATCAGGCCAATAAATGATATCTTCATCAGATGGACTATGACCACTAATTCTATATTTGTCTTTCTGTCTGTTAACATTATAATCTGGTCTATAACTACTACTTCTAGAATTCTCACCCGAATTATCGTTTCTATAATTATCGTATCTATAATTTTTCGTTGTGGGACGACTAAAATCTACGACTCTAAAATTATTATTTTGATTACGTTCACCGCCACTGTTATAATTATTTCCAAAATTTGTATTAGCATTCGAATTATATTCATTATTTCTATCATAATTATTATCCTGTCGTCTCTTATTCGATTGTCCATTGTTGTTGCCATAATTATCATTTCCATTATTTGCATCATAATTGTTTTGTTGCCTATGACCATTGTAATTACTCTGACCACTGTCATAATTATTTTGTCTCTTATTATCATTATTGTTTTGATTATTTCTATCGTAATTATTATTCTCGTTATTTCTGTCATAATTATTATTATTATTATATCGTGTATTATCATTATTTTGTTGATTTCTGTCGTAGTTGTTCTGTCTATCACTGTTATGGGTATTAGCTTGATCACCAAATACGACAGCGGCTATGAATGCTCTATCGACTTTGGCGTACAAGGCTGGTGTGTTTGCAGCACCGCATGATCTTCCAACTGAAGTGACGGCGACCACTCGCCACACGCAGCCATCTCTGAGCTGGGCTGGTCCTCCGGAGTCGCCCTGAAAATTTGTACAGACTAGTTAGGTAGGCTAATCGGCCTATCGCGACGCGCCTTTTCATTCTTACGTATCATCCCTCACTGGTGCCCCGTCAGCGTATACCGTTAGCGCAGGCGGGGTTACCATTCCATTTTCATCCATTAAAAAAAAAAACAAGCATATGGCCCGTATGATGATAAACGTTTATTGAAGTTTATAGCCACCTGCATACTCCAGTAATGTTACATGCACGCTGCCTACCCTGAAGAACCCCTAATACGTCCTTTTGAAGAACCCCATATTGTTATCTGAGAAAACCTCTACATTAAGTACCTGACAAGTATCCTTTCCGCCATTCTTGTCACCAGCACAGACTTGGCTATCTGAAGATGGACCTTCGGGTAGCTTCCTCGTGACGCCCAGTATTCGTCTGCAGTCTGCCATGTCCCATACAGGAATTGATACGCTCCGCAACTCCAAAGATTGATCGCCTCCTGGAAACAAAAGTCTGCATCAGTACTGACCTTAATGAGGAGGTGGCAGTGGTACATTTACTATGGAATAAAATGCATATGTGCTGTTTTTTTAATGGATGAAGATGGAATGTCCTCTTTAGCAGAGGGAGATTTTGTACAAAAGTCGATTGCTTGAGTACCTCTATCCCATTCGTTTCTACCGTGGAGCAGTTGTGTTTGCACGGCTGTGTTTCGGTTTGAAGGATGAGATATGGCGTGAATTTACAGGGTACAGAGGAATAACACCTGAGTCCTCGGGAATGGCAACGCATGAGGGGTATCATGGGCAAAACGGTATACACTGTTATGTTCATGATACTGCTTATGTCTATAGGCGACGGTTTCCACTTTCCATCAGGTGGGCTGTCAGCTTGTTTACCATTCTAAGTTGTATAAAAAAAAAATATAAAAAACATACTCAGAGGCACTTCAATTGTGTGGATGTAATGTTATAATAAATAAATCATCATATCAGCCATTATCTGTCCACTACTGAATATAGTCCTCCCCCCATTGGGGGGTTTTGCCAATAATTACCACACTTATAGGCGAGTAACAACCGCAATTAGGCTTTGTTGATGTTTTAAGACATACTCTGCTGCCCAACCTTCGATCGTTAAGTTCCCTTAGTCACTTCTTAGGATACCCATGGGAAAAGTAGGGGTGGCCTAGTGGCCCATTCTATGTCAGGACCACGCAGCAATATATACACAAACAAAAGACACTCAGGTTGTGGAATGAGCTCCCTGTCGAGGTTTTCCCAAGAGACTACAGCATGGGGTTCTTCAAAAGGGGGGTAAAGAGGTTTCTTCAGGGTCGGCAACGCGCGCGTAATACCTCTGGTATTGCAGGTGTTCATAGGCTACGGTAACCACTTACCATCAGGTGGGCCGTATGCTTGTTTGCCACCTCAGTGGTATAAAAAAAAAGACAATACATACAGGGTGTATTAAATTTAAATCATTTTTATTTCTATAGACCTGTTTACGAGAACTTTTAAATTGTCATTTTTTTATCAATGCAAGGTTCGGAAGGTCTTATCTGTTGAGAAGAGTACGCAAGAAACTCAACAGTTACTCTTTTCAATCTCTGTTAACATTATGAGTATTTATTTAAACGTACTATGTCTAAAATTATATGGTCGTTAAAAGCCCGTGCATGATCGACTAACACCATGCACGTTTGTTATTCAAGTAATCGTTTAGTGTGTAATAGGCTTTGTTCAATAAGTGATTTTTAAGTAATAAATTAAAGGATTCAGGTTAACTTTACCATATTCGGTGCGCCCCCATCCTGTGGCCACTACGTGTTCTCCAACCGAGGGCGGTACTCCCAGGCAGGCTGGTTGGATGACTTCGGAGAACCTATAGAAGATTTATTCATTTACTCTTTAATGCACCGCTTAAAGAATAATACTAAGATAAACATACATTACACGTATGAGGTGAATTTACAGGGTACAGAGGCATAATACCTTAGTCCTAGAAGAAATGCATGGAAGGTATCATGGGCGAAACAGTATACTCTGTTATGTCCACGGTACTGCTCATGTTTTTTCCGGGCAAACTTTGGATTGAGGAAGAAAATGGCGTTATCTATTTAGCGCCAGAATTGTAACTAATATATATATATATATATATAACATTACGAATTTTAAGTTTTTAAGTTTTAAATTTTGCATGCCTAATTATGCATTCTTTATTGCACAATAAAACTTTGTACAAGTAGCGAGCTTAATGCCATATCGCAATATTGTTGACTTACATGGTAAGAAAACATGCAAATTAATAAAGAATTTGACAAGAAATAACCACAATGATTTTCAAATAGACCGCGTGGAGGTCACCCTGATGTATCTAGTAATAAGGCAGTCTCCAAGACTAACATTCTCTCCCCACCTGCCGCGCAAAGGATTTGACTTGAAGTTTAATATTACAATAACACTTACGTTACAGTTTTAGCCAACTTCGCCAATGCAGTATCGAAGTACGATCTGGTCTGAGTATACTTCGAGTGGCGGTACACGGCTGCCACCTTCACAACCAAAGCACCGGTGTCGTCCAAATACGAGGACCCCAGCTGGACTACTCTTGGAGCACCCCTGGCAGAAGATTAAGACATGTTTTTAATTCAAAATATTATCAATTATCAAATAACAAAATCCATTTTGTTAGTCTTCTGTTCATTTAAGAGTTTCCTCTTGTCGGTGCAACTAATTCATGCATTCTCTTCCAGCCAGCTCTATCCCAGGCCATATCTTTGATGTCTTTAGGGAGATCAAGGATATGGCCTGGGATAGAGCTGGCTGGAAGAAGATGCATGAATTAGTTGCACCGACAAGAGGGAACTCTTCAATAAAAAAATGCTTGTTTACCACCTCAGTGATATAAAAAAAAGAAGACGACATGTTAGTGTTACAGTTCCAGACGACCATTCGGTAATGTTACAGTGTTGCCAATATATAGAACAATAAATAATAACCGTTTGGTCTCGGCATAGAATAGGCCACCCCTTCTTTTCCCGTGGGTGTCGTAAGAATTAACTAAGGGAGGGCGAGGGTTGGGCAGCAGCGTCCCTCTTAAAACATCTCTAAAGTCTAACTGCGGTTGCCAACCCATCTGCAAAGCATAATAACTACTGACAAACCCCCCAAAGGTGAAGCTTATGTTCAGCACTGGACAGTTAAAGGCTGATATGATGATGATGACATAATAAATGACATATGAAACAGAACACTTACGGGACAACAGTATTGTCTTTTTCTTGGTAGGCGCAGTGGGCTGCTGTGAGTACAAATTTGTCACTGAGCAAAGAGCCCCCACACTTCCAAGCGTAGCCACCATTCTGAAAACGCAAATATATTTTAATCCAGCATAGAATAACAAACAAGGGAGTAAACAAAGGGAGCTTATGGTGGAGGGATGAGCAGTAGCGTCCCTCTTAAAACATCTCTAAAGCCTAATTGTGGTCGCTAAGCCTATATAGGGAAAACTTCTGTTCTGCAGTAGATATTTAAAGGCTCATATGATGATGGAATAGTAAAAACCTATATTCAACAGTGGACAGAAAATAACTGATATGATTGATGATGATGATGATGATGGAATGGTAAACACTGACAATCTACCTGGTGTGAAATGATAACCATCTCCTATAGACATGAACAGCATTGTCGACATTAAAATGCACTAGTTGCCTGATACCTTGCAATTCCTGAGGACTAAGGTGTTATCCTGCTAAACGTGTCAACTATTGACAAAACCTTTATGGGGGAGGCCTATGTACAGCACAAGACCGTTAACGGCTGATGTTGTGGTATTATGCCTCCGTACTCTGTAAATTTACTGCCATATGCCACCCTTCAAACCGAAACACAGCCATGCGAGTACAACTGCTTCTCGGGAGAAATACGGTTGGGACAAAGGTACCTAAGCAGATGACAGAGGGATTGTTAGTAATGGGTTCTAATAGCTCCATTGCTAACAATACACCCTATCAAGTCGACCTCCACGCGGTTCCTCCTGGAAACCATCGTTTATCATCAGAATTAACCAATTCTTGTTAAATTCTTCACAATGGGCCAACTGGTCTGCCTTTATCCCCACCAATCATTTATCACTGGTGCCCTGCAAGCGTATACCGAAAGCGCAGACAGGGTTACCATTCTGGTAACATACTGAAACACTTTCTGAAACACTTTCGAAACAAGAGTCGTGACTGCTCAGTGGGACAACGCTTGACTGCGGCTTTAGGATCCCAAGATCGACTTCCAATCTAAGAAATTTAAAAATATGTATTTTTTACTTATCCGTTGAAAACAAGAAAAATCTTACCTTTTAAAAATATTAGTTTAAACATACCTCCAATTTCGTCCAGCCCAGCAGAGCCATGTGGGGGAACTCTCGTATACTGACCACTTTTCCCCCAACTACTAGTGGGACTGGGGGGGCACATTGAGTCACATTAAATTGTACAGGATCTGGCGACGGTAATAGTGGAATCGCTTGCAGCTTCGTTACACTTCTCGATTTATATTTGTCACACACTGAAACGGTTTAAAAATCTTTTAAGTTTTCTTACAGAATATGAAATCTTTAACAAGATGATAACCCAAACTAGATGAAGTTTGGTAACCATCATCCATAGACACGAACAGCACCATAAACATTACGTGCATTGTGACTACCACGATACCCTTCACATTTGGGAGAAGGGATTTTCCCCTTGAATACGGTTTCCCCTTGAAATTATCGTGATTAATTAACATTGAATTTGCCATGAGAGGCCAACTAACATGTTACATCCTCATCTATGATCCATCACTGGTGCCCCGCTAATGTATATCGATAGCGCAGACGGGGTTACCATGTCATATTCACTCTTTGAAAAAATCTTAAAGTTGTTAAAGTTCCTGGGAATTCAGGTGTTTTGTTTTTTTTTTTTTAAAGTTAATATAAAATTCCTTAAATACTAATACTAATTATAAGTAATCCCCCATCGCACCACACCGAGGCAGCATACCCAAGATACTGGCAGCATTACCTCATTGGATTGCCAAACTTATCTTTTGGGCAAAGCAGCTACCAGCTCTTGGGTCACCAGTAACCTCGATAAGGCGCGCTGCGATCGACGTGTTTTGTGCCAAAAATGCAGAGAATAACGCTTTAAAATGCGACATTAATACTTTGATTCGACTTGATACTGACTGAACAAGGAGACTATATCCAGAAAAAACTATCCAATACTTTATCATTAGTACCCAAACTTATATTTTTTTGAATGCCTAAATTTTATTTACACTAATGATCTTTCGAACCAAATACAAACGAAGAAAATAATTTGAATATAATAAATTACTAACTTCTTTCAGAGATTTCGATGTATCTCCTTTTCTCTACACTGCTCATAGAATCTTCATCGGGGCCAGTCAACAACGGAGGACTCGTATCTGGTCCCTGGGGGAACCTTATCACGCTACTGTCCGTAGGTCTCGGGAACACCGCTAGGGGTCTCTGTGTAGCTGGTTTATTAGTTATTGGTGGTCTATTCGAGTCAACCACGGCTGGTCTGACTCCTGGAACGTTGTACAGCGGATTGTATGTTGTATACTGGTTTTGAGTATAATAATTTTTGGTGGTACCAAAATTAGGACTGGCAGTATCATCGACAACGAAATTGGCGTCGTTCTCTCGCCACGCTGTTCTTCTACCGCCTTCACCGTTGGAAACACCCGATTCCCTATTTCTGTTGCCTTCTCTTGCGTTTGTACTGTGACTGTTTCTGGTAGTCGCTTTTGTAGTTCGCCTTGTAGGCTTAGGTGTTGTTAGGAAATTGAAATTAAACACTGGAGCTGATGTTATAATTCTCCTCTTAGCTTTGTCTTTAGCTGATTGTCTATTCCTTTCACTGTTACCTTCACTGTCGGTTGAGACAGATGGTTTTGCATTCTGTCTCCTTTTCTCTTGTGTGTTTGTACCGCTATCGTCATTTCTATGATTGTATGTGGGCTTAGGTCGTTTCGTTGTGCGTTCTTCTTGGAACGGGTTAATTGTTGTTCTGCTGTTTTGATAATAGTATTGCGGTCGAAATTCGGCGAATAGATCTGGAAAATTTATAATTTTTACATCAATAACGTTCCATTGAGATGGTCGTGGCTCATAATATAGTGGTGTGCCATACCATAGTGATATAATTATTAATATAAATTAGTCCTTAGCTGTCCACTGCTGAACATAGGTCTTCCCCATATGGGGGATTTTGCTAGTTGCCACGCTTGGCAGGCGGGTTGTAAAACCGCAGTTAGGCTTTTGGTGATAAGACGCTGCTGCCCATCCATCGATTATTGAGTACCCTAAGTCGCCTCTTACGACATCCATGAGAAAGGAAGGCGGTGGCCTATTCTACGCCGGGACCACACAGCATAAATACGTAATTACTACGCTTGGCAAGCGGGTTGGCAACCGCAGTTAGGCTTTGATGTTTTAAGAGGGACGCTGCTGGCCATCCTTCTACATGGCAACTATATTGCATATAGCAACTATTTTGTTCCTAAAGGAAAAAAATATCAAATTCAATCGTAGTAAAACCACTTAAGTTTAAAAGCAAACTACGGGAACGATTTTGTGTATTTAAATTGGTTTATAAAATTATGCAGTTCTGTAATAACAGGCGTTATAAAAATACAACTAAATTGAAAACCTTTTTTTTTTAAAATCGCTTGATATACATATATTTAAAACCAAGGAATCTATATAAAAGAAACCTAATAGTAAACCTGTATAGGAATCTTTGATCAGCTGGAAAGATTTGTCAAGAGCGACCTATATTTATTTATTTAGATCTTTATATGCACCAAAAACATAAAAATTTACAATGACAATTAAAAAAAAATCAAGTGAAATACAGTAGCGTAAAGTACACATATGTCAAGAGAGAGATAAGTCTGTCCACCCCTAAAATGGTAAGGCGTAAACTTATAATAACAAAGCATTTAATAAACAGATGTGTATGTGTAGAAAAATCATCGACCGAATCGTGTAAACAATTTTATTTATAATAATAAAAAAACAATTAATTATAATAATACTTAATTCCTTTTTACAATACGGAATTTGCCGGCCATTTGTGGTTTTTTGTTTGTGTCCATCTCGAGAGATGTCTTTATATCAATAACTTTATACGTTTCAACTATTTTTGTTTTTTAGAAAGAAAGAAAGAAATCATTTATTGCCAACAACAATATCATGTAGCACAAGTGAAGCAAAAAATCGAAAATTGTAAATTTGTAGTTATTTCACGATTTTAGCTTACTGTACTTTTGCCTTCTAATGGTGAAAGAATTTTTGAAATCGGCAAAGTAGTTTTTGAGTTTATTCATTACAAACACATACACACAAAAATACAAATCTTTCCTCTTAATAGTATTAGTGCAGTAGTGTTATTCCGTAAGCATCACTTCGAAACTCGATAGCTGAATCCGGAGTGAAATTATATCATGGCATTCTGTAAAACTCGATTGCGACTGCAGCGCCACAACGATGAGTACGGTGGCGGGATTAAACATTCAAAAGTGATATTTTGACGTTTGGTGCAGTGTATTGACATTCTGTAAGGGAATCTCCCACTCACTTCGATACTCACTTCACCCAAGACACACGATTCCATTTGTCAAATATAAAGTTCCTACGGAGTGATCGAGATTTTATAAAAATATTATAAATTGTATTTAAACATGAGTTTTTTGGTTGCCTAATACATTAAAATGGCTAGATTATTTGTGTTATTGAGTTTATTAGAAGAAGCGAACTCTTTAGATTTATATAACAGCCGACGTCAAGCTCAACAAATTCGTGCAATGCGATTGTTTAATAGAAATAAGGATTATGTGAATGTGTACAGACTTTCAGAGGAATTAATAAATAAATTAGAAGAAGATATTAAGTTTTTCATTAGGAAACCACAACGTCGCCACCGAGGGTTATCCGTTAGAATCAAGGTAAGATCCAGCTATCTATCTATTCGGTACCTAATTTAAATAACTTGAATAGTCATTTAATTAGGTACTATGTTATGCTACCACTTATTTTCCGTACAATCAAGTAATAATAAATAGTATAGTAGATAAGCACATAATATGACTTGTTTACTTATCTCTTTTCAGTTATTGTGCACATTGTCGTTCTTGGCGAGTGGCAGTTATCAAAGGATAATAGGGCAAAATATAAATACTTTTTTGTCCCAACCGTCTGCATCTCGCTGCATTTGCGAGATAGTGGAGACATTAAATCATCCAAATATTATAAGCAAATATATAAAATTCCCACAGAATGCAGAGGAGAGGCTGGCATTAAAAGAACGGTTTGTAATATACAAATACTTTTGATAAAATAATATTTAATTCATAATCTATAACTATAAATAATATTGACTGTCTTTTATAATATCGAAATTTATAATATATGTTACTGTAAAAATTTGACAAATTTTTGTAATTTTATTTCTTTGTCTGTTTTGTTAGGTAGGTAATATTTTTTTTTATTACATAGAAAAAATATTTTGTATTATTTCAGATTTTATGAAAAATTCAAAATTCCTGGAGTAATCGGGTGTGTGGATGGGACTTTTGTGACAATAGTTAGACCCACAGAAAATGAAGAGCGCTATTATTGTCGTAAAGGCAATCATGCTAGGAATGTTCAATTGGTATGAAAAATATTAAGTTATTCCTAAGTTAAACTAATTTAGAAACATAGTAACATTTGTTCTAAATTAAGTGAATTTATATAAGTCTGGGAAACATGGGAAATAATAAGAGACTTAAAAACAGATATTAATTATATACTATTATTGATAGCTTAGATATCAGAATGTCATTTATAATGATATATACGCCAACGAAGTCGTCGGTAGTCGCTAGTAAGTATAATAATTATATCTAGATTTTTATCTTTCAGTACACAGATGCGGATCTCAATATAATACATGTAGACGCTACTTATGGTGGCGCCACACACGACAGTTTTATCTTTAATAATAGTGATATAAAAAACCATTTAGAAGAATTGGTAGGTGCTGGTGAAACTGTATATTTACTTGGTGAGATCAATTAATTAAAGTTGATTCTAACTTCCGCCTATATGATAAAGATTTGACCTAACCGGTTTTAATGTTTGTTGTAGGAGATTCAGGATATGCTCAGCGGTCTTATTTGATGACTCCTATTCCTAACGCTGTTGAGGGTACACCTGAAGAATATTACAATAAACTACACGCAACAGCACGTAACACAGTCGAACGAACTATTGGTAGACTTAAGGGACGTTTTAGATGTTTACTTGTGCACCGCATTCTACATTACCATCCTGATACAGCCGGAAAAATAGTGATAGCATGTTGTGTCCTGCACAACATTTGCAATAGAGCTGGTTTACCTGCACCGACTCTAGATAGTCATGATGAGGAGGAAGAAGCAAATTTTCGTGCAACTGCACGCGTCTCAGCGGGTCGTCAGTTGCCATTGACACACTCTCAGAGCGAGTTGGCAATGGGTCAATCAAGCAGAGATATGCTAGTTAATCAGTTATGGCGTTCTCGTAGGGAGTAAATACATATATTTACTATAACAAACATTTTGTCACAAAACAATAAAAATAAAAGACCTTGTTTTTCTCAACATTTTATTTTTTTAATGCTTCGGCTAACAATTTTAATCCCTCCCCTACAGCCAGCAATCCCTGGCTAACCTCATGACTTCTATCTTGGTCTCGCTGCAAGAGTTCCCTCATTAGTTTAGCCATATTTTCTAATACAGCTACACTTCTGCTATCTATTTCTAACCGCTGCTCCTCCACTCTCAGGAAGCGATCAGTGAGGCTGGTAAGCTGTGACCGCCTCTGAGAAGGTGGAGACGCAGGTATCAATCGCCGCCTACGGCGTGGAGCTGTAAAAGAATAGTAATTATGAAATTCTTACTGCCGAACTTACAACATACGGAATTTTTATGCTACAATATATAAATTATCATATATGCACATTTCATTTAATATAAATATAGAACAAAAATATAAGAATGATTTCACAAGACTATTTGTAATCTATATAAGATATTTTTTAGCATTATAGACTAGTTTCAAAAATTTAAATAATAGTCTCGCAATGATTCTGTAATGACTTTGATAGTCCAACAGTCGGGTTAGTTATACGGTCCATTATAAAAAAATATTACATAATTACCAGAAAATTTAAAAATTAACAATTAGTATTGACAACAAAGTAAATAATTACTTTACTACAGGGAGACATCGTCTAAGTCATTTGCATGGACACCTATCTATGTTTTACAAGTCTTCCTACCGCCAAAATAACTGTGATTGCAGTGTAATTAAAGGTATAGGGTAAAACAAAGCATAACAATTATGGCCTTAGATATAACAATGTAAGAGGAGTAACATGGACATCACAGTACATTGTGTGATGGTTGCTACTCACATCAATAAGATAGATCATCGGCTCATTCACTTAGATATACAACATTTTCTGTAAATATAAAAATACATTAAATTGTGTGTATACTCACTTCATTTTTGCTTCCACTTCTTTCGAAACACAAATGTTGAATGCACTAAACTTACTGATACTCAACATGTTAATTTTTTGTGTTCAATAGGTACCCATGTGTATCGCAAGAACGTAAAACCACTTAGTCCTCTCCACTTAAAGTTCTTGTTCTTGGAATCACAACACAAACTTTACCAAACAAAATAAATTTTTTACATGGACGCAAAGGAATGTTGGCTATACTGACAAGAAATTATAATTTTTTTAAATTGGTTTAGCTATCGCTTAATTTGTATAATTAAATAGACTAAATAATCTCAAACATAAGTAAAGCCAATAATACACTCATTAGTATATAATTTCTAAAAAAACAAAGGAAATACTTTAAATCGATTATATAGATTAAACATGGCGCACCGAGCACGTCTCTAGTTCTCGATAATTCATTTCGAAACTCACTTCACATCGCCTCTGCACTTCAAGTGTAAACAGAATGCCAATCCAAGGTCAAGTGATTTCGCTATCGAAGTGAGAACGGTCACCTGAGTGATATTCGATATCGAGTTTGCATTTTACAGAATGGCACTGCAGATTGGTGGGAGAAGTGGTGGGAGACGCCCGACGTGACGGTCCAGCGGTGGCATGCGCGTGCTGAACAGTACTTGGACATTACAACATTATTTTTAAACGGTTTTATTTAGCTCGATTTCTAAAATAAAAGATTTTTTCTAAAATAAACGTAGCATAAGTTACTCCTTATTACATCAGCTACGTACCAATAAAAGTCCCGTTAAAATCGTTAAAATCGGTCTAGCAATTTCAGAGAAAGAGACAGGCAGACAAAAATTGCAAAAAATTATATTTTGGTGTAGGTATGTATATATATATATATATATATATATATATATATATATATATATATATATATATATATATATATATATATATATATATATATATATATATATATATATATATATATATATATATATATATATATATATATATATATATATATATATATATATATATATATATATATATATTAAGGGCTTTTACCTTCTTCAGGTATATCAGTCCTATTGTACCCTGAACTGATTTCTCCAACAAAACTTTATCTACCTTCCCTAGACGCGGAAAGAGAAGAATTAATGGGCATCAATAATTTACACAGATGTTCAAAAATTTCTGGTTTAAGTTCAGCTAACATAGTTTGAATAAAACCAACATTCAATTTATTTAAGTTAAAGTGGCGCATGAATTCTTCTCTTTCCTTCGTGTTAATACGAACACTCTAATATTCATATGAATGTAGTAAAAAAAGGTTATTTCAATATTACAAACAGACAATCCAATTTTATGTATATGTATAGATGTAGATAAATGATATCTAACCATAAAACTGTGCGTGTACCGTCGTTGTCACTATAAACGTAAGCAATATATGTATTGTCCTGACCGCCATCTTGATTTCATAATCACCTGATTCCAACCAGCTGAAACAAAAGAAAATACAAAACTATGTTAAACCAACTTATTAACTTTCAATTTATTTATTTATTTACACTTTATTGCACCAAGTAAAAAGAGAAATAACAAATACAGTAAATTTTAATGAGAAGTGATACAAAAGGCGGCCTTATCGCTGAGCAATCTCTTCCAGACAACCTTTGGGTAGAGGACATTGAGAAAAAGACAAAGGGCAGGTGGCGCACTATTATATAGATATTATTAAATATTATTATATACAAACATATATACATACATACATACATATATACACATAAATATATAATATATACACAATTAAATATATACATAACATACTCGTACACATACTTAACAGCACACATACAACAGAAAAAAAAATGATGAAGGAAAACGAAGAGAGAACACAGGAAAATAGTACTAAAGTGAGAGGTAGTAGGATTTATAGGCGGGAAAGGGATTGTTAGGAATGGGGATTAGTAACCTTATTACTAGCAATATCCCCTGTCAGGTCGACCTCCTCGCGGTTCCCACCGTATTTCTTTTTAATAAATTCTTCATGATGAGCCAACTGACCTGTTTTAATCCCCACCTATCATCACACACTGGTGCCCCGTCAGTTCATACTGATAGAGCAGGCATGATCATTCCGTAATCCTCCGTAGATCCATATCTGCGTGAATTTACAGGGTACAGAGGAATAACACCTGAGTCCTCAGGAATGGCAACGCACGGGGGGTATCATGGGCGAAACAGTATACTCTGTTATGTCCACGGTACTGCTCATGTGTATAGGCGACTGTTACCACTTTCCATCAGGTGGGCCGTCAGCTTGTTTGCCATTGTGTGTTGTATAAAATAAAAAAAAATCTAAAACGTTTCATCATACGCACTGCGGAACCCAAAACCAGATAGGAAATAACTCAATCGAGTCGTAATAAAAATGTGCCAATTAATATAATAGTAGTACCGAATCAGCTACGCGAATTCAATTCGGCCATTTTCGGTTATATTTTTTTTTTATACCCACTATTGAGAAAATTACTAATAATTTGATATTAAAAAATAAGGTTATTGTAGAAAAAAAAATTAGTTCATGACGTCTGTGAGATTATAGTCTTGGAGCTAGGGTCCACTTTCAACAGACGATGTTCTCGATACGGTTTTTTTTTTGATAGGTGAAAATGGTATGGTAACCCCGACTGCGCTAACGGGATACGCTGGTGGAGCACCAGTGAAGGGTGATAGATGAGAATGAAAACAGGCCAGTTAGCCCATCACGATGAATTCATCAGGAATTAACCATGATAGTTTCCAGGGGAACCGCGAGGAGGTCGACCTGGTTGGGTATATTGCTAGCAATGGGATTTTTAGTCTCCATTACTAACAATCCCTTTCCCCCCTCTCGATACGATTGTATTTCTTATTACGCTTGTTACCTCATAATTTTGTTAGTTATTATTAAAAAATTTATTGTTTCCTCCATAAGATTAGAATATTCATCGGAAAGCAATACTAGGACTCCTAATCTTTATTGCGAACTCCTATTCATTCTGGTCAAGCGCATTCAGACTCTTTTGTTGTGGCTGCAATTAGACTATGGAACACACTTCCTCACGAAATTAGAAATAGCCCAAGCATTGGGATTTTCAAATCACGTCTGAAGAATTATTACCTCTCACAATGCTGATGTGCGTACTTATTATATTTGTGTATTATATATAATATATATATATATCTATACATTTATATGTATTTACTTACATATATTTTTATTTATTTATTTACCTATCGGTCTTTTCAATTGTAAAGACATTTTATTTATTTATTTTTAACTATAACATTTAAGTCGATCGGTACACATGTACGACTGTAACTACTAATGAACTGTCAGTTTTCTCATATTGGGTTTGCTGGAAGAGATCTCTATTGGAGATAAGCTCGCCTTTGTGCACTATTATGTTTGTTTTTACATTGCAATAACCTTTTGTGTACAATAAAGAATAAAGAAAGAAAGATTACAGTAGTAAACTTATTACAGATATAAACAATAACAAGAAAAATGTAATCTTTCATCGCTAAGATACTATACTTGCAGATTGACCCCATAGAAATTTTATCAAAATTAGTTTAGCAGTTTTGTTTTGGCATCAAAATAACTGGTTTTGCCACAATCAAAGTCGGTTTTTTTGTAGAACACAATTTTAAATTATTCGAATTTACCCCATTGTCTGTAACAAATAAATAAATGGATAAATCCAAACGGTACGGAACTGACCGTACGTCTATTTTAATACCAAATGTAAATAGTTTATTATTATTATTATATTTGTTTTTAGTTATTTCTTAACCCGTGTGCGGATACTGTCACAAATTTGTATAAAATAAATTTTATTTAATGGATGATAATGGAATGGTAACCCCACCCGCGCTATCGCTATACTACTATTATGGTATAGCGATGGACGAACGTGCAAATCTGTGCCTCGGCTACGCCTCGGCCCACATTTGCACGTTCGTCCATCAATGTCTCAGTTGCTGGCCGCTGCAGTAACGTACTATTATTCCAAACATACCTGCATACTTAAATTATGACTCATAAGAAAACTCGTCAATGTAATTTACTAAGAAATATATCTATTTATAGTATCAAATACGTTCTATAAAACCACACAATTATAAATACAAGTGATTTTAAAACTTAATCATATAATAATAATGATTAATTTTGTTTGTACAAACAGGATATTAATTGTAGAAGTAATAATTTACAATTAGGTAGTAGAGGTTACATCCGAGTATTCTTTGTATACGATGTAAAGGAAAAGAGATTTAAATGTAATAGAAATACAATTCAAAATCCAAGTATGTAAACGAAAATGGTATCTCTAAATTTTTTTTATAGGTGAAAATGGAATAGTATCCCCGCTTGCGCTAACGGGATACGCTGGCGGAAAACCAGTGAAGGGTGATAGATGAGAATGAAAACAGGCCAGTTAGCCCATCATGATGAATTCATCAGGAATTAACCATGACAGTTTCCAGGGAGAACCGCGAGGAGGTCGACCTGGTTGGGTATATTGCTAGCAATGGGATTCTCAGTCTCCATTACTAACAATCCCTTTCCCCCCGGTGTCTCTAAATTACGCCCATAATAGTTTTATTTTATAGGACGAGAATGAAATGGTAACCCCGCCTGTGCTATCTCATTACGCTGGCGGGGCATCAGTGAAGGATGATAGGTGAGGATGAAAAGTCAGGATAGTTAGCCCATCGTGATGAATTCCACTAGAATCAACCACGGTAGTTTCCAATAGAAACCGCGTGGAGGTCGACTTGATATAAATATACACCCTGTATTGCTGGGGTGAAAGGAATTGTTTGTAATGGAGACTGAGAATCCCATTGCTAGCAATATACCCAACCAGATCGACATCCTCGCGGTTCCCCCTGGAAACTATCATGCTTAATTCCTGATGAATTCATCATGATGGGCTAACTGGTCTGTTTTAATTCTCATCTATCACCCTTCACTGGTGCTCCGCCAGCGTATCCCGTTAGCGCAGGCGGGGTTACTATTCCATTTTCACCCATCAAAAAAAAAACCCTGTATTGCTAGTAATGGCGAAATTAGACTCCAAAACTAACAATTACTTCCCCCCCCCCCTTTTATATAGATTGTTAGCATAGACATAAGACAAATGTCTAACAAATTTATTTTTAAGAGAAATGTCTACGAATATCTTTAGAAAAAACTGTGAAAGCATTTCATCATCTTCATCATCATCACTTTTGATCTCTATCGTTGTTTATTTGTGTTATCGTATATAATCTATAAGTATGTAGGTATATACAAATAGAGGTTTGTTTGAATCGAAGCATTTGGCGTTCCATTGTTTCTGCCTACCCTAATGGGAGACAGGCGTGACAGATATGTATGTATGTATGTATACAAATATGTCATAAAAATACGTATGTATGTAGACATATTTGTATATTTATATAATATTAATATATAGTTTTTCATTGCGTAATAAAATTTCTGTCTAGCCAAAGGTTGACTGGGAGCGAATGCTATATAGTACTAAGTCCTCCTTTTGTACCAAACAGTTTTCTGTAATGTGGTCAGTAAAGCATAAATAAATAAATAGCAAATTACTATTGTGTTCTCGTGCTAAGATAATTAAAGTAGGCGTTTCTTTTACTATTTTTTTTTTGTTTTTTCGTTATTACACTATCTAATATTATAGAATATGTTTATTTAACACTTTATTGCACCAACATTACAAGATTTGTCGAAGAGTTTTCGATAAGTATAGAGTAGTACAAAGGACAGGTCTTATTGCTTAGTAAACTCTGATAGACAACCTCTGAAAAGGAAGAATTAATGAATAAATAGGTAATATAATAAATAAGTATATATATATATATATATATATATATATATATATATATATATATATATATATATATATATATATATATATATTTGTGTGTGTGTGTGTGTGTGTATATATATATATACATTACAAAAAGATTTGGTTTTTAGTTTTCCGACCGGCCACCTGCCTGACATCAACCCTCTTTGGGAATATATATATAATATATGCATTGTTAGTAATGGGAATTAGTAGCCACATTGCTAGCAATATACTGTATCAGGTCGACCTCCTCGTGGTTCCCCCTGGAAACCATCGTGGTTAATACTTCTCGCATTCGTTATAATGAGCTAACTGACCTGCTTTCATTCTCACCTATCATCCCTCACTAGTGCCCCGCCAGTGTACACCGATAGTACATGCGGGGTTACCATTCCACTATCAATCAATTAAAAAAACACAATTGTTTCATGGTAGAACCACGAATGGGACAGAGATACACAAGCAAACGACATTTATACAAATTCTTTCTCTGATAATAGTAAAAACCCGGCATAGAATGGGCTATCCCGTTCCTTTCACGTGCGTGTCGTAAGAGACGACTAAGGGAGCTTAATCCTCGAGGGATG